TGCTGTCCACCACCACCACCACCACCACCACCACCATAAGTTGGAGGGGGAGGGGGTCTCCTCCTCCTCTTCCTCCTCCTCCTCCGCCTCCTCTCCTCCTCCTCCTCCTCCCTCCCCCTCCTCCTCCTCCTCCTCCTCCTCCTCCTCCTCCTCCTCCTGTTCCTCATCCTCGTCCTCCTTCCCCCATCCAACTTCTGGTGCAAACAGGCTCATAATCCTGAACTCAGAGAGGTTCCTCGTTCAGCGTATGGGCAGCGCCCATGCTTGCTCACCCGTATGTTTTTGGAATTCCTCCCCAGCCAAGATCGCGTGGCAACAAGAACCCGAGCGGAAGCTTGTTGGCTAATTTCGGCCTCGGGGAGCCATCGCTGGGTTCTGGGCCGTTGAAGGAAGACTCGGATGAGAAACGGGTCCCAGGGAAAGGGTCGGGACTTCCAGAGACCCCGTGTTGAAAAAAACAAGACGCCACACGTCTGGATCCCAGGCCTGCGACGTCTTGATATCTTCCAGACGGGGCCCTCAGAAGTCCCGACCCTTCTCCCCGGGACCGACTCTTCTCCCTGAACCGTTGTTCGGCGGCCCCGAACCCCGGCGAGGGCCCCCCCGAGGCCGAAACTGGCCAAAAACCTTCAGTGCGGATTTTCTTACGACGCGATCGTGCCTGGGGTCGTCTGTGGACGCCCTCGGCAGCCCTGAGCACCGCTGCCGCGGCGCTCAACCCTCTTTGCGGCCCGACTGCTGCCCCCAGCGCGCGCAGCCCGCCGCTCCGGCGGCATGCCAGCTCACGGGGACCCCGCGAGGCCCTCGAGCAGGTCGTCCATGACGTCGTCCACCTGGCCCGCGCGCCGCACGCCGCCGCCCCAGACATCCAACGTATTGAAGCAATCGCTTGCATCTGCTTCGCGGCGATCCCCACTCGAGAGCGCGAGGCGGGATGGCCAGGGAGCGCTGGCACGCTTCGGGCCGCGCCGCCGCGGCAGGAAATCGTCAATCGTAGAATGCACGAGGCGGGACACCCAGGGAGCAGCGAAACACTTACAGTCGGCACAGATGAGTAGGTCGACCCCGCCAAATCAAGTGTACTTTTGTGTCCTGTGTCTCGCGACCCATGTTTCCTACATTCCTGTGGCAATGTGGCCCTCGGCAAGGTCTTGTGTCCTCTCGCGTGTCCTGCCCAATCGAGTCTGACTGTAGGGCTTGGCGGCCCGATCTGCAGCTCGCGCGGTGGAGGGAGCTCCTCTGGCTTCGGCCCCCCGACGCCAACAAGGAACGGACGCGGGGAGGCACCGGTCGCGGCGAGACACGCAGAGACACGCAGAGACGCACAGAGACACACAGAGACACACAGACACATGCAGACACACACACACAGATAATCACACAGAGGCACACCGAGACGCACACAGAGACACGCACAAAAAGACACACGCAGAGAGACACACACACACACATATATATATATATATAATCACAGAGACACACAGAGACACACACACAGACACAGACACAGACACACGTATACAGATACACATGCACAGACCCCCAATCACAAAGACCCACAATACCTCGAGTCATACAACACAGACCCACACACACGTATGATCCGACATACCTCGAATCATACAACAAATGTCGCTGCCCTCCCCGCACCCCTGAAGTAGGCATTCCGGGTGCCCATTGTACTGCATGCTTCTGCAACGCTTACATGAGGCCCAGACATCAGCAAATCGGTTCTGGATGGGCTGGCGGGAATCCGCCGACCCTGTCGGCGTGTGTGAGGGGCTTTTCCGTTCGAGCCGTCATCTCCGTCATTCTTTGTACTCGTCGTCTCTGTCCTTCCCTTTCCCTGGGAGACCTCTTCCCCTGGGCTCCAGCCAAGCCGACCTTGAGCAACCTCGTAATTGAGTCGAAGGGAAGCCCCTTCCCTTTGATCCCTCCCCCGCCGGGAGGGGGGGGGGGGTAGCGACCCCCCCCCGGGTCAGATACGACGCCCCCCCCTGGGACTCCTCTTCCCCTGGGCTCCAGCCAAGCCGACCTTGAGCAACCTCGTAATTGAGTCGAAGGGAAGCCCCTTCCCTTTGATCCCTCCCCCCCGGGAGGGGGGGGGGTAGGGACCCCCCCCCCGTCAGATACGACGCCCCCCTGGACTCCTCTTCCCCTGGGCTCCAGCCAAGCCGACCTTGAGCAACCTCGTAATTGAGTCGAAGGGAAGCCCCTTCCCTTTGATCCCTCCCCCGCCGGGAGGGGGGGGGGGTAGCGACCCCCCCCCCGGGTCAGATACGACGCCCCCCCCTGGGACTCCTCTTCCCCTGGGCTCCAGCCAAGCCGACCTTGAGCAACCTCGTAATTGAGTCGAAGGGAAGCCCCTTCCCTTTCATCTCCCCCGCCGGGAGGGGGGGGGGGTAGCGACCCCCCCCCCGGGTCAGATACGACGCTCCAGCCCCCGACCTGGGACTCAACCTCGTAATTGAGTCGAAGGGAAGCCCCTTCCCTTTGATCCCTCCCCCGCCGGGAGGGGGGGGGGGTAGCGACCCCCCCCCGGGTCAGATACGACGCCCCCCCCTGGGACTCCTCTTCCCCTGGGCTCCAGCCAAGCCGACCTTGAGCAACCTCGTAATTGAGTCGAAGGGAAGCCCCTTCCCTTTGATCCCTCCCCCGCCGGGAGGGGGGGGGGGGTAGCGGGGGGGGTAGCGACCCCCCCCCCGAGTCAGATACGACGCCCCCCCCCCGTACCGACCTTGAGCAACGTCGTCATTGAGTCGAAGGGAAGCCCCTTCCCTTTCCCTTCCCCGACGGGGGGGGGAGAGGAGGTCCCGGGGGGGGTCCCGGGGGAGTCCCGGGGAAGTCCCGGGTCAGATACGACACCTCCCTCCCCCACCTTCTCGTCCTTCTCCCCGTTCCCCCAAACCATCCCACAGCCCGTGCCTCTTGCTGCGCATTGCGAACAGGGTCGGCGGCACCGGCCGTCAGGCCTTCGCAATACTTTCTCGCTCGCGAGCGCAAGCTGAGAAGCCGCGCGCCGCCAGGAGATTGCCAGCTAGCAGCGACCTAAGTTGCAGCCTCAGAAAGCCAAAGCGACCAGAGCGCGCGACGCAGTCGCTCAGGCGGCGGAACGGGACAAACCCAAGGGGACCGCTAGGCCGAGGAGGTCCAAGAAGTGGGCCTCGATGCGCATCAAAATGATGAACGAATTGAGGCATCAGTCTCAGGATGGAGAGCCAAGACAGCCGTCGCGCATGTGTTCGCCATACGTGTACCGAAGAAGCAAGCGGAAGACGAAACGGAGGTCGCCACCATCAGACAACCGTCGTGGCTGGCGGGAATACTTTTTGTCGGCAGCCGCGAACGAGAGCGCAACAGCGGCGTGTCAAAGTCCAGGCGGGCCGCGCGAGGTACGAATTAGCCAAACAGAAGCAGGCCGAGCACCGGCACTCAGAACGGGACCAGGAAGTCGCCGGAATGGAGGCGGGGCTGCAACACTGCCCGGCGGTGCAACCGTGCAACGGCTGCAGGTGCTGACTGCAAGGGTGACCGACTGCCAGGGTCTGCAGGATGCTAAGTTTGAATGCAAAACGTAAGCAACTGCTGTGACTAAACTGAGCGTCAATAATTGGACAGAAGCATCAGCTGAACGCCCAAATGTTGTAAAGAAGCGGCCCTTTATCCGCGCAGCGGTTGCCTCTGCTCAGGCTCCAGCTCCTTAAAATCATAAGAATAAAAGCCTGAAGCGAAAACCAACTGTTGGGACAGGAGCCGTCCACAAGCCATGTAACATGTCCAAGCTCTTGCGACGCATGTGCGCGGCGCCAGGGCGAGAGGCCCATTATTGATTCACCGACCCCCCTCCATTCTTGCAAATGTTGCTAACTTTTCAAAACGAATGTGCGAGGCGCTGAGGCGAGAGCCACATGTTTGCCCGCACCCTCCATCCTTGAAGCTGCTGCAAACTGCTCAGGCAAATGTGCACGTCGCTAAAGCGAGAGCCACATTCTGAAAGCCACCCCCCCTCCACCCTTGAGGCTGTTGCAAATTTCAAGCTTCAGGAAAATAGATAATGCGGAGATCTCCAGCGAAACGCCCGTCCCGCCCTCCCAACCTTTCGGGGGGTGGGGCGCGACAGCGCGACAGGGAAGAGCTGTTCAAAAGGAACAGGGATGGAGGAGGGCTCGGGGGGAGGAGGGCTTGGGGCTGAGGGGCAGGGTGGAGGAAACGCCTGGATCGCACCTTCGCTGTGGACTGGTCTACCTCGAGGCAGTTCCGCGGAGGAGTGGGAGGAGCAGGACGATGATGAGGAGGGTTGGAGGCAAAAGCCGTAGGACCTGGAGCTGGAGGAGCAGTCAGGAGGAGCAGCGGCCAGCAGGAGGAAGGAGGAGAAGAAGGGAAGGAGAAGAAGGAGGTGGAGGGGAAGTGGACGGGCACGAAAGCGCAGGGAGCCCCAGGAGCCCAGCCCAGAGAGCAAATGGCGAGAAAAGCTGGTGTGGGGCCACCTCGGGCAAGTGCAACCCATGGAAACCCCCGACAAGAGGGCGGAGAGGGCCTGGCGGAGGGGTGGGGGGGGGGAGGGGGCGAAGGGGTGATCGAGGAGGATGTGAGGGGGGGACGTTAAGGTGGGACCCGCTCGGGGGGGCGGGACATCGACCCGGAATCGGCGATAACATCACCGCTTGATCGGCGATGGGCGAATGCACGCCTTCCTGGGCGAGGGGCGGGGCTATGCGGCCCCTGCCGGCGGTGGCATGGCGAGGAGGGGTCGACGCGTCCTCCCCTGAGCCCCACGGCCCCTTTACGGAACGTGGCCCCATGAGGTGAGCGAGGAGAAGGGACACCTGGCGGCCCAGGGGAGAGGGCGTGGAGGAGGAGGAGGGAGGAGGAGGAGGAGGAGGAGGAGGAGGAGGAGGAGGAGGAGGAGGAGGATTGAGGAGGGCGGAGGAGGAGGGAGGAGGAGGAGGGCGGACGCACGGTTTGCGCGCGAGGAGGACCGAGCGGAGCCCGGCCTGCCCTCAGGCGGGCAGCTGGAGCAGCGCCTCCTCGTGCCGGGACGGGTCCCAGATCCGGGCGGTCCTGTCGGCGGCGGCGGCGGCGGCGGCGTCGTCGTGGGGAGCCTCGTGGGGCGCTTCCTGGGGCTGTCGCCGCCTCGGCCGGGCGCGGCTCGGAGACCTGGTGCTGGGATCGGCCCTGCGGGTTCGGAGCGGGGCTCTGCCTCGAAGAGGGGATGGGCTGCAGAACTGATGAGCCCCAAACTTGTTTGCCCGTCGAGTCGACGAAACATACGTATAGGGCTCCGTAGATCCACGGAGCAGTCTACACAGTCTCCGCAGCTTCGGCGGAACAGTGCATTCTGAGGTAGATCAATGCGGTAGTCGATCCCCTGCTCGACTGGTCGCCTTTCGAGGGGGCATGGGGTCTTCTTTAAAGTGGGGCTCGCCCCTCGCCAGAGACCTCTCGGACGTCCATTCCCTGAGGCGTTGTCGGTGTCGTGCGTGCACGTTTCGCGACATGGTCCAGGATGCTCATCGACTGTCTTCGCAAAGAAAAAATGCACACGTCCGAGCGATGCCGAGCCTGAGTCTTGGAAGGCAGCGGGGGCCTTCTCACTGAGTGGGACAACCTCTTGGAAGGGCGACGTCCCCGCCTCCTCAGGATCCCACGCCCCCCTTTAACGTCGAAGCATGTACTAAGTACGCGTGGCAAGGACGCAAGACCGTCGGGGGCCAAAATTGGGATTTTGCTACCGCGGGCGACCAGTGAAAACGACACAGGACGGGCCGCAGAGGCAAGGACACAAGGGTACCCTAGATGCAGGCGCGCGTCCTTACTAGGCGCGTTCACTGTAACAGGGGGCCTTGCGGCCCCAATCTGCTACTTTGGGGGTCTTCGAACATCTATGTAGACAAACATTGGGGTCAAACTCGGGAATGCTACTACGGGTGGGCGTCCATCGTCGATAGAGGTGCGCCCGAAAATGCGACGTGCATCCCCGAGATTCCCATCACTTTCCACACCCGACCGATCTTTCTGATTCATCTTCCTAACCAAATCGATCTGTGCGAGCCCTGGGGCCCAAGACCAGGCGAATACGTCGCAACGCCAGGATCTCGACGTGGCTTCCCAGAGGTCTGAACCCTCTCCCTGGTACCTGTTTCTCATCGCTGGTAATTATTTGAGACGGTCCGCGCGGCCGGCAAGGGCTCCGGGAGGACGACAGCGTCCAGAACCCCCCGGTCATGCTTCGTCACGACACGAGGATGTCATCGAATTTTGAGCCGTCCATATCTTTAAAAGGGAAACTCGGTGATTGGAGGCGATAAATCGACCGCGACCTGCTGTGACAAATCCCACAACATACTCCTAACCGTTGGGAGGGGGCTGTTAGGAGGGCCAGCAACATTAGGGAGAAGGGGGTCTTATCTGCAGACGCATCGAACCGAGTCGCCCAGACCTAGTATCCATCATGCAAAGACGGGGACCTACGTGAGGGCACGTCACCACCATGGCATCAGGGCTAGTTAAGGGGTTCTGTAATCCTTGATGACTTAGCCTGGACGTCGGAGGTCTTGACCCTGCTCAAAGCACGGACGTCCACCGGAGATCCCCTCGACCCCGTCCCTGCGGGGCTAGCCTTACACATCGCGAGCTCTCTCTCTCTCTGGAAGGCCCACTCGGGGCCCGCAGTGAGGGCCCCAGCGAGCTTAAAGCAACGAGCCACCTTAGTCTTGATTGTTGTTGGCATACATACGTACACATAGAGATATGTGTATACAGTAGGAGCTCGGCCTCAAGAACCCTTCCACAAGAAACCCAACCCTGAGACCCCAAGCCGTCCATTGAGCTTTGGTGTGGGAACGTTACGGCTTCCATCGCAGAACCACCGAAACCCAAGAAAACTCAGGGCACCCTGGAGGCAAGCAGGGTGCGTCTTGGCATGGGTTTCCAATGTAATATCGAACGAATGACGGCGACCAGCCAGAAAACGCACCTACCCATTTTCTGCTACTGCTGCTGCTGCTACAGCCAAAAAAAGGCAAGCAGAGAGGAAGGAACAACGACGAGGCGAGGAAGAGACGACCTCAGTCTTTCTTTTTGTCAGTGGGTTGAATGTCTGACTCTCGGACCCGAGCTCGAGTCGAGTCCCCTGCGGCCATTCGGGACGATCTGGGCAACCCCCGGGAACACCCGCTGTTGGAAAGTATCCCAAGGCAGGAGATCCTTCAGGAATCTACAGAAACCACCTCTCTCTGACCCCCGACGTCAGGATTTGTTTCATAACGTCGAATCCCCGAGGTCTCGACGCATATTCCAGAGATCGAAAATATGGGAAAACACGTCGTGATTTGTGTTCTGACTCGAGAGGGTCTGGGCCTGGATGTCTGGGATCCTCTCTTTCGTCATTACTTCAAAACGTTTTGCCCCCAAAATCACCGATACCGCTACACCCGGACCACTCCCGGGATGCGTTCGGACCCGAACTTTGAGGATACCCAGCGGTGGCGAGGGCCTCCCAGGAGGCCCAAAAAGGGGAACACGAGCGAAGGGTACACCCAGACCTTGGACAGAAGAACGCCCTCCACGAACATGAGACCATCGGCTGGCCAAGTCACACAGAATATGCAAGGGTGCCCTCCCCAGAATGCACAAGCACATCCAGCAAGCACGAAGCACATCAGGGTACCCTCCCCGAACCGACCTCGACCTTATATCTCGGTCCGCCGCCGAATTTGTAGCAAAACTTGGGTCTCCGGCGGCCGTTCGGGACGATCCGGGCACCCCCGGAACGCTCTCGGCGAGGCGCAGCTGCTGGAACGCATCCCGAGGCTGGAAAACCGCCCAGAACCGACGGAAACGTCCGAAAACCTCGAACCTCGGTCGGACCTCGGTCCGACTCTAGCAGTACGGGTATCACTTCCTCCTCCGAACTCCTGTCCGCGGCGCCCGTCAGCAGGCGGGCCCCGTCCGGGCACCAGGCCACGCTGCACGCGCCCGCGGCGTGCCCCGGCAGCGCCGCCGCGAGGGCCCACGCCTCCGCACCACGCTCCGGGCACGCCGCCCACACGTTCGCCAGACCGTCCTCCGGCCACGACGACGACGATCGTTTTTTCGAGCGCGGCGCTTTCACCTTTCTACTGGCCCCGGGACTCCGACATATCGATCCGGCTCGAAAATGGCGCAGAACGATGGGGTCTAGGGCTCCGGGCGTGATTGTTATACTGTATTATTTTTTGAATGAGTTTTTCAAGACGTCGGATCTCCCAGTGGACGACGACGACGAGGACGAGGACGAGGACGAGGACTAGGACGAGGACGAGGACGAGGACGAGGACGAGGACGAGGACGAGGACGAGGACGAGGACGAGGACGAGGACGACGACGACGACGACGACGACGACGACGACGACGACGACGACGACGACGACGACGACGACGACGACGACGACGACGACTACGGCGGCGGCGGCGGCGGCAGCAGCGACGGCGGCGGCGGCGGCGAGTTCGTGTCGTATGGACCCCAACGTTGGTTCCTGACACCGCAGGGATCGTTCATTTTTGAGCGACTCGAACAAGCAATGCAACTGTGATCGTCGAAGTGTTTGTGCTCGTGGCCCTCGGCTTTGCATCGAGTGTGACCTCCGGGGGACGCTTTGGGGCCTGGGGACCGTTAGAAACGAACCTGGGATGAAAAGCTGCCCCGCGGACGATAATCCTGCAACAGTTGCCTGAATGTTCCAGGTGGGTGTAAACAAGGGTGACTTTTGGTGCGCGGCTCTTGAAGGCTGCGGGGGAACCAGCTTCCCTGCAAGACGTATCTAAAAATGATAGATGCGTTTAGATGCGATCGCGCCCTGGCGCAGGCGAGAAACCCATCGTATCCATTTTCCTGCAGCGACGACAATCTAGATACTAGTTTTAGATGGGCGCCCCCCGCCTGCGCGGGAGCGCCGCCGTATCTAAGCGCATCTATGCTTAAAGCATATCTTAATTATTTGGACCGTATCTGTTTCTCTTCTAGACAGCATATCTATTCGTATCTGTTTTCAAAGAATGGCAGTGCCGCGCCGTATCTATTCTTATCAAATCTCTGTCAGAACGAATGCAACTGGCTGTGCTCCTGGCATAGAAAACTTATCTACCCTGGAAGACACATCTAAACATCTAGTTTGGTTGTTCGTTTCCCCAGCGGCAGCTGCATTCGGAAGGACCGCATGGTATCTAAAAATCCCTCCGTGAACCATATCTGTTTTTACAGCGCTTTCGCACGGAAAATTAGACACGAATCGCTATGTTTCAAACATAGGTGCGGTTAGATACGATTTCTTATTTTTTTAGATGCGGGAGGTATGTGTTCTTCCACATGTTAGATACGGTGTCATTGTTGACTACGAGTAGATATGTTTTGATATGTTTAGATACGGTTCAACATGGTACCCACCGCTGGAAAACATGTCTACCACACATAGATACGAATAGGTAAGGCGCCATGTCTCCTGCGCACGCCCACGATCGATCATTATCGCCCCTCGCTCTTGGATCCTCCTCATCCGCCCTCCTCGGTGCTCATCTTCTCTTCTCTTCTTCCGCCACATCCTGAGTGGGGTCCTTGTTCCCGCATCCTGAGTGGGGTTCTTGTTTTCCTGGAACACTCTCTCCTGTTCCTTCTCCTCCTTCTCCTTCTCCCGCCTCCCTACTATGCCATACCAATACGTACCATACCAATACCACGCCTACCTACCATACCATGCCTACCACACCACACCTACCATACCATACCCACCATACCATACCAATCCTACTATACCAGAACATACTTACCATATCATGCCATACTATGCCATACCTACCAAACCTACTATACAATACCTCTCCTCCTCCTCCTCCTCGACTCCTCCTCCTCCTCCTCCTCCTCCTGCCCTTCATCCTCCTCCTCCCCCTCGTCCTCTTCCTCCTGCCCTTCATCCTCCTCCTCCTCGTCCTCCTCCTCCTCTTTGCTCTCCCCATCCTACGGTATCCTGTTCCTACCCAATTCTCTCCCAAATTTCGCTTCGCCGTTGTTATCCATCCTACTCATCCTCCTGTTTGACGTCGTCGCTCGTCCCCTCACTCCTCATCGCTACGGCATCCCACTAGCCTCATCCCTTGGTTCATTGCTTCGACCAGTATCATGGATCTTGTTCGTGCCATGAGCACAGCCAGTTGCATTCGTTCTGACAGAAATTAGATAAGAATAGATACGGCGCGGCACTGCCATTCTTTGAACACAGATACGAATAGTTATGCTGTCTAGAAGAGAAACAGATACGGTCCAAATAAGTAAGACATGCTTGACACATAGATACGTTTAGATACGGCGGCGCTCCCTCGCAGGCGGGGGGCGCGCCTCTAAAAATAGTATCTAGATTGTCGTCGTTGCAGAAAAATAGATACGGTGGGTTTCTCGCCTGCGCCAGGGCGCGATCGAATCTAAACGCATCTAAACTGGCGCAGGCGAGAAGCCCACCGTACCTTTTTCCTGCAACGACGACAACCTAGATACTATTGTTAGATGCGCGCCCCCCGCCTGCGAGGGAGCGCCGCCGTATCTAAAGGTATCGATGTTTCAAGCATATCTAAAACTTTGGGAGAGTGTCTATTTCTCTGCTGGAAAGCATATCTTTTCGTATGTGTTTCAAAGAATGGCAGTGCCGCGCCGCATCTATTCTTATCTAATTTCTGTCAGAAAGAATGCAGTTGGCTGTGCTCCTGGCGCGGACAAGATCCATGATATTGGTTGGTCGAAGCAATGACACAAGGGATGAGGATAGTGGGATGCCGTAGCGATGAGGAGTGAGGGGACGAGCGACGACGACAAAAACGAGGAGGAGTAGGATGGATAACAACGACGAAACGAACTTTAGGAGAGAACTGGGTGGGAACAGGGTACCGTAGGATGGGGAGAGCAAAGAGGAGGAGGAGGAGGAGGAGGAGGAGGAAAAGGGAGGGCAGGAGGAGGAGGAGGAGGAGGAGGAGGAGTCGAGGAGGAGGAGGGGGAGGAGGAGGAGAGGTATTGTATAGTAGGTTTGGGTAGGTATGGCATAGTATGGCATGATATGGTGTAAGTATGCTCTGGTATAGTAGGAATGGTATGGTATGGTGGGTATGGTATGGTAGGTGTGGTGTGGTAGGCATGGTATGGTAGGTAGGCGTGGCATTGGTATGGTACGCATTGGTATGGTATAGTAGGGAGGCGGGAGAAGGAGAAGGAGGAGAAGGAACAGGAGAGAGTGTTCTAGGAAAACAAGAACCCCACTCAGGATGCGGTAGACATGTTTTCCAGCGGTGGGTGCCATATTGAACCGTATCTAAACATATCTGAACATATCTACTCGTAGTCAACAATGACACCGTATCTAACATGTGGAAGAACACATACCTCCCGCATCTAAACAATAGAAGTCGTATCTAAACGTATCTATGTTTGAAACATAGCGATTCGTATCTAATTTTCCGTGCGAAAGCGCTGTAAACACATATATGATTCAGGGAGGAATTTTAGATACCATGCGGTCCTTCCGAATGCAGCTGCCGCTGGGGAAATGAGCAACCAAAATAAATGTTTAGATGTGGCTTCCAGGGTCACAAATCAGGGCGTTGCATGTTTTTCGCACCAGACGTTTTCGCCTCTTCGGGCCCTGCAATCGACCGGGCTCGAAATGCACCAGAAAGATGGGGTCTACGGCTCAAGTCGAGATGGTTGGCAGTGTTGCGCCTTCTGTTCGCGACGTCGGATCTCTCTGGGGGTCCAAGTGCGAACGCCAATGCTGGGGTGACCTCTGTTAGGGAGCCCACAAAGGACGTACGCGCCCAGCTATGTACATGAATACGGCCCCTTGACCCGCGAGACCGGCCGCGTGATACGAACATTCGCGCAATGCGAACTCTCGAAACCAGCGTGGATTCATGTACGTGTACGTCCTTCTTCCGCTCCTGATCTGTGGGATCCGACGACGCGACACAGTGCAGCATCGCAGAAGATCACGGCCAGAGGCCCGGACCCCATCCTTCTGCTGCACCTGTCGAGCCGGCTCGACCCGGAAGACCCCGCGGGGCCCGACCTCCTGCGATCAGACGCCCAGGGACACCGCAGGGAAACATGCCACCCCAGCGAAGAGGAGGAGGAGGAGGAGGAGGAGGAGGAGGAGGAGGAGGAGGAGCACTCGCTGCGCGGAGCCGGCGTCCTCCCCGACGGTCGCTATCCTGGCCCCGTCCGGCGACCACGCGGCCGCGGCCAGGGCCCCGCCGCCGGCGTGGAAGGACGCCGCGGTCCTGGAGGAAGAGGGCACGCAGCTGCACAATCACCTCCTCCTCCTCCTCCTCCTCCTCCTCCTCCTCCTCCTCCTCCTGCTCCTCCTGGCATCGGCGCCCCCTCCTCTCCTCCTCCTCCTCCTCCTCCTCCTCCTCCTCCTCCTCCTCTTCCTCCTCCTCCTCCTGGCATCGGCGCCGGACCCTCCTCTCCGAGGCCCACGAGCGGCAGACACATCCGTCTCCACGCGCTCGCTGTCCGGACTCCGGGGCGCGATCCCGCGGCTGCGCTGTCGCCTATGGGCACGCTCCGCGCGGGGCGTCCGCGAAGGACGCGCCCCGTGGGCCCGCGGGGCCGTGGACGCGGGGCGCGCGGTGCGCGCCGCTGCCAGGCGGGATCCGCGCGAACCTTCGAAAAGCTTGTGGCTACGAGGCCGATTTGTCTTCCCTCGGGCTCCGCCACTCCGCCCCGGCGCCCGCCAGCTTCTTTGAGCTCGGCACGGCCCACACCTGCACGAGGGCGTCCGCGCCTAGCCGTGGGCCCTGGAGACGGCTGGGCCGCTCTTTCGATTCACGCATCTCTTGATCATGAAAGCGACAAGAATCATTCATCGAAACGGTAAACAAAAACGGCTCTACGGCCTGGGCAATCCGAACAGCAAATGTGAAGAACGAGAACGGTCACCAAAAACTGCCCCGTCGCTTCCAGGGCGAACTGAGGTCCGCGCCGCAGCTCAGCAGCCAAGCGCCGTCGGGGGACCAGGCCACCGCCGCCACGCCGGCCAGGTGCTCCTGCTAGAGGCCTCCCAGATGGGGTCGGAGCAGATGGGATCGGAGGGTCGCGCCGCGCCGCACCGCCGATGCATCGACGATGCAATTACCGGTGATGCATCGGTGATGCGTCGGGGACATCGTCGTGCCGAAAATTTGGTTCCACATCGAGCCGCATCGCCGATGCATCGGCGATGCGGCACGACCCGCCGACCCCATCTTAGGGAGAACAAAACGTACCGATACCGCTACTCCCGGGACCTCTCCTGGGGTGCGTTCTGACCACGATTTCGAAGCGAATCCAGCGGTGGCGACGAGGCCTTCCCAGGAGGCCCACAAGGGTGACAAGGAGGCAAGCGTCGCGATATCGGTGCCTCCTGCTCCTCCGACCCGTTCCTCCGACCTCACCTGGGAGGTCCTGCACCTCCCTCCGTTGCAGTCGCTCTCGCTGGGGCTCTCCCTGGCATCTGGAGGCGCGAGCGTGGAGTTCCACAAAAATCCCTCACAGCGTCATAGTTCGGAGGAGGAGAAGGAGGATGAGAAGGGGGAGGAAGAGGAGGGAGAGAGGAGGAGGAGGAGGAGGAGGAGGCTGAGGAGGGAGGAGGAGGAGGAGGAGGAGGAGGAGGAGGAGGAGGAGAAGGAGGAGGAGGAGGAGGAGGAGGAGGAGGAGGAAGGAGGAGGGGGAGGAGGAGGAGGAGGGAGGGAGGAAGAGGAGGAGGAAGGAGAGGAGGAGGAGGGGAGGAGGAGAAGGAGGAGGAGGAGGGGAGGAGGAGGAGGAGGAGGGAGGAGGACGAGGTCCAAAAAACCCTCAAATGGGGGGGAGGCCTATATATAGGGCTCCTGCAGCGTCGCGGCCAGCTCCCAGGCGGGGCTGCCGCCCCGCACGGCGGCCTGCCAGACGCAGGCCCGGGCGTCCGCCCCCGCCGTGGCCAGCCGCCTGCCCGAGGGCGCCCAGGCCACGGCGCAGACCGCGTCGGCGTGCGCCCCCTTCAGGGCCGCGAGCGCCTCCCAGCCTCAGTGTAAAACGACGCGAAGATCGGGATAAAATCGGATCGGGATAATTCGAAATCTCTGAGAATCGGCGGGTTTGGAGGATGTATTGGGCGCCGCGGCCGCTCCAGAGCGTTCCGGAACGCTCTGAGAGCGCTCCAGAACGCTCTGGAGCGATTTATCCCGATCCTAGCCCTGTTTTGCAGGTGGGCCCGAGTCGGGCGTTGGCAGAACTGGGTTTAGTGGCACCTGGTTTAGTGATTTGTACAGGGGGCGCCCCCCCGTCCCATTTCCACTAACCGGAACTGCCGCCATCCGAAAAAAACCGGTTACGGCAAACCTGGTTTAGTGAATCTGGCCAGTCCGGGGCCTGGTCCAGACCAGCGCTGCTTTGCTGCTGCACCCGAGCTAGTTTCGAACGGGCTCCAAACGTCCTGCCCAGGCCGCTCCAATGTGAACAGTGCTATACCGTTTCGGCGAACAGCTGCTATTCGGTCTCCCAGAGCAGGAATCATGGATGCGCTAGCGACGGAAAAAACGGCCCAGCCGTGTCCAGGGCCCGCTGAGCTTGCGGAGACGGCAGGCGACCACTATCACATCGAGGACACACCCTGGGACCCGGAGGGATGTCCTGCGCATGCCGAGAATTGTCGGAACACCGGAACCAACTTCGTACTGGTTGTGGTCGATTTGGCGCCCAAGGACGTCCAGCTCGACCACAACCGCAACCGGGTGCCCAGGTCGAGACCCGTGGTCCCCCCCCCAGGCCTGGGACCTTTCGAAAAATCCACCCAGTTGTGGTTGTGGTCCTTTCCTGTGCCCGGACGCTGAGCCCCCAGCCCCCGCCACTGACCACATGCCACACGCGCGCCGTCCGGTCCTCGGACGCCGTCGCCAGCCTCTTGCCCTTGGGGGACCACGCCACGGCCCGGACGCCCTGGCCGTGGCCGCAGAGCAGCCCCTCCACGTCCCACTGCCTGGGCATCGTCCAGCCGACCCCCAGCCCCGTGGGCGTGGCCTGGGCCCCACTGGATGATCGATCCCCCTATAGGTAGAGATATAGGCTGTTCCGTTCGGGCTTCGAGGGGCACTATATCTCCAACAGAAGTGGTGAGATGGTGGGGGGTCTGGATGGGGATGCGGGGGCGGAAATCGGGGTCAATTAATCGATGCCGAATACCGCATCTCCGCGTCCGTCGTGCGCCAGACCTGGGGAATCCAAACGGTACCGATACCGCTACCCCCCGAACCTCCCCCAGGGGTGCGCTCTGACCAGAGGTTCCAAACAAATCCAGCGGTGGCGGCGAGGGCCTTCCCGAGGCCCACGAAGGCGGACACGAGGGAGGGGTAGCGGCATGGGTCCCTTTCCCAGACATGCGACGTCCTGATTTTTTCAATGTGGGACCCCTGAAGTCCCGACCCTTTCCCCAGGACCAGTTTTTCATCCTGAGTCGTTTCTTGACGGTCCCGAGGCCCGGCGAGGGCCCCCCAAGGCCGAACATAGGCAAAAATCTCCCGTCCTGATTTTTGTTACGACGCGATCATGTCTGGGCTTCCTCCGCTGAAGGCCCTGGCGGTCGAGTCCGTGCTGCCGGTTGCGATCCGGGCCCCGTCGGGCGACCACGCGAGCGACGTGACGCCCTCGACGACCTCCCCCTGCGGCGCCCCGCGCGGCGGAGGCGCCCGCAGCGTCTTGACGGCGCGCCACTGCCACGCCTCGGGTGCACAGTTTCCGCTGGAGCCGTAGGCGACTCGAGGAGGAGGAGGAGGAGGAGGAGGAGGAGGAGGAGGAGGAGGAAGAGGAGGAGGAGGGAGGAGGACGGGTCGCCTAAGCCCTTCGGAGAAACCCTCCAGCCTCGGGGCCGCTCGCCTGCCATATGCATGTGGTGTGGGCGGCGCTGCCCGTGGCGATCCTGCGGGGAACGAGTTCCCTGCGGAAGGTTCGCGCGGCGTCGGCGCACGCGGAAGAGTTTTCGACTCCGCCTCGATCGTTCAGCCATGCGGAGTGAAACCCTGCACGCCTTCGACGGCGTCGCCAGCGCGCCATCGCCGCGTGCAGCTACCATGCCCAAGAAAGCACTACGACAGCAGCAACAAGAACGAGGAGCAGGAGGCCGGCAAGCGACAAAACGCACATCTGCCTGAAGTTCCCAGGAAAACGGACGGGCGGGACAGGGGGGAGAGCACGGCCCTGTGCACCGTGGCGCGTAGTGTCACCAAGGATTGTGACCGATCGGGCCACAAGTGCACACCGGATTCCATCACGAAGTGGGGGGGTCACGTTTGGGGGGGTGTCTGATTTGACCTGTCCTGGAGGGTTCGGGGGGGGTCTAGGCAAAAAGGCCGCCCCATTCACGGCTGTTGGGGGGGGGTCTAGAACTGCTCGTCTGGGAAGGCCGCGACCCCCTCGCTTTCACCCATCGGTCGGAAAAAGTTGGTAGAAACATGGAGTAGGAAGGCGCTGAAAGTAGATTGGGTGTCCGCCCGCCCCCTAAAGAGGACGGAAAAGGTGAAGCCACTCGATCATTGAAGCAGGAAGGCGCTTTTAAAGTAGACTGCAACATTGGATTCCAAAAATACAAACTTTCAACGACCGATGGGTATGCTGGCTGAAATCTGGAGTGGCCGACATTGAGCCGAGAGCACGATTCCCGAAGAACCAGCGAGGAGGTCTCAAAAGAGACGGCCGCCGAAGCACTGGGCGGCCCGGGCGGGCCGGGGCTCCCCGACCCCACCCTTTGGGATGTTTGTCTTTCGGTCCGGCGGGTTCGTGTCGTGCCGACTTCGGCGTCGGTTTCTGACACCGCGGGGATCGTTCAACCTTGAACGATCGGCCGCTTCCGAAACGTCAAATCGTTCAATGTCGACTGGTCATGGGCCGCTGGCTTCGCCACTGCTCGAGCTCAGGGAACGGAAAGAGACAGTATCGACACAAACTGTCACAGGCCCGCGCGGATCTCGAGGACCAGCGCGGGGTCCACTGACAGCGGGCCACCCGCAAATCCGATCGATCCGCGCGAACCTCCGAACGTTTATGCTTGCAGATGGGAACTTTTCCGTAGCTCGTCGCGGCGGCGTCCCCAGCGACACGCTATGCCCTGCGAGCTGACTGCGTGTCGCTCCACTTCGTGTGGAGGGAGGCTTACTCGGGACGTTGACCCTTGAGGGCTGGGACGTGGTTAGCGTGTCGAGCCGAAGTGTGGTGGGCCAGAACTGGCGGCGCGACACGCTAAGCAAACGTTCCCGACCGTATGCTCATGTCAGAGTGACAGGGCCGAACGGTCTTACACCGTCTCTGCCTGCGTATCTAAAGTGGGCTTCCGCTGTGAGGATTCGCTTCGAAATCCGCCCGCCCGCTTTCATGCCCCACCCGCCCGACACGCCTGTTAGGGACCGCCCGCTCGGCCCGCCCGTTAGGGCCGGCCCGCCCGTCAGGGTCCGCTTGCCAAAATAATTGCTTCTCTCTCCTCCACCATCTACTCAGTGACTTTCTCCCTCTATCCTCCTCCCTTCCTATTGCACACCTCCGTTCTCGGTTCCTCCTCCTTTCCCCTTCTCCCGTTTCCTGTTCCCACCTCCTCGTCATCGCGTTGCCGTCGTCATCGCCTGCGAGCCCCCTGGCGACCCAGCCTCGACCCACCCCGCAGCCAACCTGACGATCCATCCGCGACCCAGCCCGCAACCTACCCGCGGCCCAACCGCAACCCATCCACGTTACTCTGACGAAACAGAGTCGGCGCTTGTGGCGATGGGCTTCGTCAAATCTGCTTTGAGCCTCGCAGACTGCCGACGATCCTCTTCCCAGCCCCCTCCCTCCCATCCGCAACTCCGGGGGCTGCGGTTGGTAGGGCTTCGCGTTGCGCACAGGCTGCCCCGCAAGGCAGCCCCAGCTGGCCTCACCAGGCCCCCCCGGGTAGTCGTCCTGGCCGGCCCCAACAGGCTCCCCGAGTAGCGGCCTCAACATCTGGAGCCTGGAATGGCGGAGCGCCCCCGGCGCCAGGGTGTGGAGACCGGCCTGGGCTGCTCGGAGGGCCTGTTGGGGCCAGCTGGGGCGACCACTCGGGGGGGGGGGGGCCCGGTGAGGCCAGCCGGGACTACCTGGGGGGGCCGTCTGCGCGCGCCCCGAGGCCTTGCCACCGTACCCACCCGCTCAACTGCGGAGGCTAGGGTCGTGCTTTCCCCTCCGAGAGGTCCTCGTTCCGTCTGGGCTCCAGGCCACCGCGCTGACGGTGCTGGAGTGGCCGCGCAGCGTGGCCAGCAGCGCCCGCCGCCTTGGCGGGCCACCGCGCTCCGCCGCGGCAAGCTCTTCGTCCTGCGCAGGTCGAGTGCGCAAGCTGTGGCCGCGCAACCTATGGCGCAAGCAATGCGCATGGCGCGTTCAATAGAGGGCCGTTGTATTATCGGCCACCGCGCGCACAACGAATGGCGCGAGGAAGAGCGGGCTGGTTTGGTTTCGGCCGCCGGGCGCGCAACCCATGGCACACCGAATTGTACGCGATTTAACCGCCGAGAAACAACGGCGGCTAGGACTTCGTCCCCGGTTTTCCGCCAGTTCTCCGAGCTGCGCCCAGCCGCGACCTGGTGAGTCCCCCGGGGGCCGCAGTCAATCGCAACCTGGCGGTCGCGATCTCCTCGCGACGAGAGAAAAAGAACGAGCGGCGAACATATCTGTATCTGCGCTCTCGCGGTCTGCTTTCCGGGGCGCGATCCCACTGATACGCGGTCGCACGGGTATCCTTTCCGCGCGGGGCGTCCGCGAAAAAACGGCCCGCACAGGCGGGGTCGCGGCCCGACGAGAGCTGGAGGCCGCATGGGGGTTCTGAACTGGTTGGGGCCCCAGATAACTGTCAGGAGGGAGGATCCGCAACAAAAATATGTCCCTGAACCTCTCCAGGGGTTCCACCTGGTGCAGTTTCTCACCCCGGATCTGCTTTCGACGGTCCTGGGGTCCGAATACGGGGCAGTTTCTAATACATAGGGCTTAAAAACTATAAGATTTATTTTACGTGATTAATGTATGAGTAAACTTATGCATGAACTCATCGTTGTGTTTAATACTAAATCCCTGCATGTTTAATACATGATCCGCACGCGGAGCATGTATCAAAAACGGCACTGTACGGCCCCCGGGGACCGAACCAGGCCAAAAGCCTCGTCGAACCCAGACTCTCCCCCCCCGTCCTGCTCACTGGAACCAATGCTGGGGCCACCTCAGACCCTCGGCTACACGCCAAAGTGACCCTAGGCAAGAGTGGTCCTTGTTGCGCAAAAAAAAAAAAACATCCCAAGAACGTCGAACCACCATTCGCCTCTTCGCGCCAGAGTGAACCCTACCTCGGCGGGGAAGCGGGGAAGCTGGACTGCAGATTTCCGCGTCCACTCCGTCGTCGACACAACAAGGTGAGCAGGACAGTGTAGCGCCACGCGAAGAGGAGGAGGGGGAGGAGGAGGAGGACAAGTGAAACACAAAGGGGTATTAGGAAGCAAGGATCACCTGCCCCGCAGGAGAACCAGGCCAGATCCACTAACTAAGAACTGGGAGAGCCCGGGCACCCAGGCAACGAGGAGGGGACGGAGGAAGAGGAACGCAAAGGAGGGGGCCTGCAAGAGAGCGGCTCACGCCATCGCCATCATACTGTCGTACCCCGGCACCGGTATCAAGATCTCCCTGCCCATCTTGCTGGTGCTACGGCTGATGAAGACAATCGGAACCACGATGAAGATTGTTAGTAGCCCTCCCCATGCAGGGTGGAGGCTGCAAGGTGACGGGCACGGGTAGTGGTACCGGTGCGCCATGGGCCCAGCAGCGCAACTCCCTGCGCCAGGGTTGTGCATTGAATTCATCCGTTGGGAGGTCGGAGTCGGTGGGGTAGGAGCTGGAGTCGGGGCCAGCGTCGGAGCAGGAGTCGGAGCTGGAATGGAGGTGCGACTGCTCGGCACGGGTGGTGGTAGTGGAAGGGGCGCCGCTGGCGTCTGCGCTGGCGTAGGCGCCGGTGGTGGCGCTGGCGTCGTAGCTGGGGAGTCGGAACTGGGGATAGAAGTGGTGGGTGGCGCACACGTTATCCCATGTGGTGGGATAAGACGCTGGGAGCAGGGTTTATTCGATCGCGGGTCAAGTGCAGGTCTAGGCGCTGGCATCGACGTCGGGTTAGGCGTTGGCATTGGTGCTGGCGTCGGTGTTGGCGTCTGTGCTGGTGTAGACGTTGGCGTCGGTGAAGGCATAGGCACAAGCGTGGGTGCTGGTGTCGGTGCTGGCGTCTGCGCTGGCGTAGTCGCCGGTGGTGGTGCGGGCGTCGGAGCTGGGCGTCGGAGCTAGAGAGTCGGAGCTGGGGAGTCGGAGCTGAAGGTAGAAGTGATGGGTTGCGCACACATTATCCCATGGGGTGGGATAAGACGCCGGGGGCAGGGTTCATCCGACCGCGGGTCGAATGCACGTCTGGCGTCGGTGCCAGTGTAGGCGTTGGCGTCGGTGAAGGCATATGCACAAGCGTGGGTGCTGGTGTCGGTGCTGGCGTCTGCTCTGGCGTAGGCACTGGCGGTGGTGCTGGCGTCGGAGATGGGGAGTCGGAGCTGGGGATAGAAGTGATGGGTGGCGCACTCGTTATCCCACGGGGTGGGATGACACCCTGGGAGCAAGGTTTATTCGACCGCGGGTCGAATGCAGGTCGAGGCGTTGGCAATGGTGTCGGGTTAGGCGTCGGCGTCGGTGCTGGCGTCGGTGCTGGCGTCGGTGCTGGTGTAGGCGTTGGCGTCGGTGAAGGCACATGCACAAGCATGGGTGCTGGTGTCGGTGCTGGTGTCTGCACTGGCGGAGGCGCCCGCGGTGGTGCTGGCGTCGGAGCTGGACGTCGGAGTTGGGGGGTCGGAGTTGGGGATAGAAGGGGTGGGTGGCGCACCCATTATCCCACGGGGTGGGATAAGACTCCAGGGGCAGGGTTCATTCGACCGCGGGTCGAATGCAGGTGTAGGCGGCATTGGTGTCCGGTTCGGCGTCGGCGTAGGGGTTGGTGTCGGTGCTGACGCATGAATCCTCTGGTGCGTTGTCGTCAGATGGCCGGCGTTGTTGCGCGGACTGAGTGGGCGCAAGAGGGCCAAAACCAAGCGCGCAGTCAGCCGCTATCGCATCGCGCTGAGTGATCGGGGGGATTGTCCGGCGAAGGGTCATGGGACGCACAGAGACATACTAGCACGTAATTGCTTTCTTTGGAGGCGCGCGTCCGATCCGAACATATAGCATCCCCATCTTGTGGTATATCTTTTCCCGAGCGGTGTGGCCGGAACGGAACGCGCCCGCCACAACGCGTATGCTACAAGATTTCTCGGTGCGCGCATCGCCCCTGGGGGGGGACGCACACATAGTATGTTAGTATGTTGGGGTGACGCCGTCTGGTCACTCGCACGCTCGGAGCCCGAGACCCCATCTTTCTACACCAGTTCTCGAGCCGGATCGATCTGTGAGGGTCGCGCGGCTCGAAGCCGCACAAAAAGGCCCGGCTCGAACACAAAAACAGAAATCGCCAGGATCTCAGCAATCGAGGAGAGGAGGAGGAGGAGGAGGAGGAGGAGGAGGAGGAGGAGGAGGAGGAGGAGGAGGAGGAGGAGGAGGGAGGAGGGGAGAGGAGGAGGAGGAGGAGGAGGAGGAGGATCTCAGCAATCGAGGCCCCCCGCCGACGCCCAGGCGCGGAAGTGCGGGAGCACTGCCCCCGGCCCCAGCGCAGGGCGGACCCCCGCGTCTCGCCGCCGGGGGAGAGGAGGAGGAGGAGGAGGAGGAGGAGGAGGAGGAGGAGGAGGAGGAGGAGGAGGAGGGGGAGGAGGAGGAGGAGGGGGAGGAGGGGGAGGAGGAGGAGGAGGAGGAGGAGGAGGAGGAAGAGCAGGAGGAGGAGGAAGGGGAGAAGGAGGAGAAGGAGGAGGGCTGCCCCGCGCTGCCTTCAACACTCCAGCCGTGCTGGGAGGGCCCCCCGAAGGCCAGCTGCAGCGGAAACGCGCCCCAACACTCCTCACAACACAACTTCTTGGAGCTGAGCTGTTTCGCCCAGCGTCGGAACTCAAAGGCGGGGTCCGGAAATCAGGTCGTGATTGTTCGCTAGAAGGGCCAAAGGCCCCATGGAGATACTCGAAGCGAACACCACTCCAAGGTGGGGAGCCCAGGCACTAAGAACAGAAGGGTACCCCTCCAAAGCTGCGGCATTTCTTAACCCTCATGCCAGCTGCACCGTTGCCTCGACTCGCCATTATCTGAGCCTTTGGGGTTGCTGCATGGGGCGGCAATAGCTGGGGGTGCGACGTTAACGTGTGTCTTGCGTGGCCCTGAAGACATGTCTCATTACTTCCAGAAACAGTCCTTACCCAGAAATGGAGGGTTGGGGGCCATTTAAATGCAGCGCTTGGGCGGGGTGGGGTACGTCGGAGCGTACGGGCGCTGCGATCACCCAGGGGTCGAATGTTACGCGCCAGAGGATCACAAGAAATCTGCCCTTTCAGGCCCCAAAGGGGCCACTTTACGGGGCCTTCCACGCAAGGCACGCCTTTCTTCAACACCAAGGTAACGACAGTTTGGGCCCAAAGGGGTACTAGAGCACGATTCTCGAATGAGCTGCAGGGACATCTCAGGCGAATACGTCGCCAGACCGCTGCCGGACCAGGCGATCTCGGGCTCCCCGTGTGGGACTCTTCTGTGGCCTTTGTGACTTATCTGAATTTCAGCCCCTATGGCGAAACGCGAACTCGGGAACCAAGACATGCGACGTCCTGGTTTTCTCAACACGGGGTCCCTGGAGGTCCCGACCCTTTCCCCAGGACCGTTGCTTCATCCTGACTCGTTTTTTGAAGGTCCCGTGGCCCAGCGAGGGCCCCCGAGGCCGAAAGTGGCCAAAAACCTCCCGTCCTGATTTTCTTACGACACGATCATGTCTGGGAACAACATTGCACCTTTCTATACCCCCCGAAGACTTCGTGCCCCCATGTTCCCTGGGATCTGACGTTCACGAAGAAACCGCCGGTGCGCAAGCAACCACGATACTAAAGCCTCATATTATATCAGAGTGAGGGGGCCGAACGGTCATTCATTGTCCCTGGGCGCGTGGCTTAAATGCGGATCCGTGGTGAGGATTCTGCTTGTTGCTTTTTTGGTTTTGTTGTTGCTGTTGTTGTTCATTTTGTTGTTTGTTGTCGTCGTCCCCCCCGCGACCCGGCCCGCGACTCAGCTGCGACCCACCCCACGACCCACCCGCGACCAACCCCGCGACCCACCCGCGACCCGCCCGCGACCCACCCGCGACCTGGCCCGCGACCCACCCGCGACCCTCCGTCGACCCACCCGCGACCCTCCGTCGACCCAACCGCGACCCACCTGCGACCCAACCCGCGACCCACCCACATTGCTTTCACAAAAAATGGCGCCTGCGGCGGGCTCGTTGTATAGCTTGAAAATGTTGCGCCTGCGGCGGGCTTCTTCAGAGCCTCGCAGACTGCAGACGTCCCCACCGCCCCCTCACTCTTATCTGCATCTGCGGGGTGCTACGTGTCCATATATATATATACACACATGTGTGTACATGGGCGATTTCGGAAATCCTGGATCCAAAAACGTGTTCATTTCTTGGGAGCGTTTTTTACTTGCGCCGCCTTCCGCCGGCTTCCTCCGGCGGAGGCGGCCTCGTTTTACTTCCGCCGACCTTCCGCCGCCTTCCGCGGCGGAAGAGATGACAACTCCTTCCATCCTCGAAAGCCCTTTTTGGAACCCCCCATCTGTAGATAGACCCCGACTCCCTGCTGAATTTTTCAGGCTGGATCGATCCGTGAGGGCCCGGGGGCCCGGAGCCCAGCGAACCCAGGCATGCTGAAGGGGCCCAGGGACACACAAATAAATACACACAAATTCCAGGATTCCCTGTATGTTTCCATACCATGTTGGACTTTGGTCTTCCCACTTCCCAGCTTTTCCTATATTTTCTGGGGAAACGACGATTAATTCTGCATGTGCGTTCCCCTCCTTACATTCGTTGTTCTTTTTCTTCTTTGTAGCAAGCGGTCCCCTGAAGTCCCGCCTCTCTTCCCGAGGCCGGCTCTGACGCCCCGAGCGCCGTCTCTTTGACGGTCCCGGGGCCTGTCGAGGGAACCAGGAGGCCGCAAAATGACCAACAACACCTCCCGTCCTGGTCGTTTCCCAGACATGCGGCGTCCTGATTTTTTCGATAAGGGGTCCCTGGATGTCCCGCCCCGTTCCCCAGGACGGGTTCTTCATCCTGACTCATTTTCTGACGGTCCCGAGGCCCGGCGAGGGCCCCCCGAGGCCGAAATGGGCCAAGAACCTCCCGTCCTGATGTTCTTAAGACACCACAATTTCTAGGTTTTCACGATGCGAGCATGTCTGGGAAGCCGCCTGGCGTGAAAACGTAGCGTCGCCCGGATCTCGGGGCACCGCAGCGCCCGCGGGGTCCTGCAGCTGATGGGCGAAGGGGCCCCCTGCGGCGAGCGGCTCGGCCAGGGCCAGCGCGCCGCTCGGCGAGACGCCCGGAGCCAGCGGCGCCGCGGCATCGGCCTGCTCTCAGGCCGGGCATGTCCGCCCACAGGCGGAGCTTGGAAGAACCGAAACAACCACAAAGTATACTCAAACACAGGCAAAAAGAGCACGACGAAGCGTCACGATAGTGCTTTTTTTACTACTCTTGAAGATCCCTCCTGAAAAGTTGCACGCCCGACTGGAGCCTGCTCGAAGGGGTCGAACTCTGGCACGTCTCCGTCCCCAGCCACGGCCACGAACGAGCCCGGGGCGACCTCTGCCACCGCGCCCCAGGAGGGGCCCGTCGCCAGAGCCAGCGGCGCAGGCGGGGCGTCGTCGAGGGCGGAGAGCGCGGCCAGCAGCTCCTCGAGGGAGACCTGCGTCCGAGCTCGTGCTTCTACCTCTCCCCTTCCCCTCCTCTCCCCTCCGCCCTCTCTCCGTCTCCGCCCCTCCTGCATCTCCTCCTCCTGCTGCTCCCCTCCAGTTCCTCCGCCCCCTCTTCCCTCCTCTCACTCCTGCCCCGGCTGCTGCTGCTCATCCGCTCATGCTCCCCCTGCGCCTCCAGCTAATGTTCCGTTGCTCGCTTCTCCTGCTCATCCTGTGCCCCCTGTCGTATTCCTCCTCCTCCTCCTCATCCTCCTCCTCCTCCTCCTCCTCCTCCTCTCCGTTGTCCTCCTTCTCGTCCTCCCTTTCGTCCTCGTTTCATGTTGCTCCTCATCCAACACCTCGTCCTTCGTCCCCGGCTGCTGCTTCTGCCTCTCCCATCTCTCCCTCGCTCCGCCCTCGCCCCCTCGGGCTCCTCTGCCCGCCCCGCAGCAGCCTGCTGGCGGAGACTGCTCCTTCTCCCCCGACACATCCCCCTCCTTAAAGGGGCCCAGGGATACACACGCACACACATAAACACACGCACACACAAATAGACAAATCCCAGGATCCCCTCCCGACTCCTCTTCTCCATGCTGCCCCTCCGCCTCGTCCTCCTCCTTCTCCTCCTCTTCCTCCTCCTTCTCCTCCTCCTCATCATCATCCGCGGGCGGGCGCAGCCGAGCGCGCGCGAGTATAACCCCTCCCCCCGTTCCTTCCCCCTCCTCCTGCTGCCTAGATCCTCCTCCTCCTGCTCCTGCTCCTACTCCTTATCTTGTTCCTGCTCCCTGCTCCTGCTCCTGCTCCTGCCCCTGCCCCTGCTCCTGCTCCTACTCCTCCTCCTCCTCCTCCTCCTCCTCCTCCTCCTCCTCCCTCCTCCTCCTCCTCCCCCCCTCCTCCTCCCTCCTCCTCCTCCTCCCCCGGCCCCGCCCCCCCTCTCCTGCTGCTATTTCTCGCCCGCCTTTGCCCTCCTCCCTCCGCCCACCCTTCCCCTTTATCCCGCCTCGTCTCCTCCCACTGGTCCATTCCTCCTCCTCCGCCTCCTCCTCCTCCGCCTCCATCACGTCCCCTTTCCAGTAAGTCGCCTGAGACGCCCTCCCCACCTGTGCCTCCTCCTCCTCCGCCTCCTCCTCCTCCTCCTCCTCCATCACGTCCCCTTTCCAGTAAGACAGGCCAGGCGTTTCGCCTGAGACGCCCTCCCCACCTGTGGCCCGGAAGCTTGGAATGTCCAACCAGTCCAACAGTTACACGGATGGAGGGTGTGCATTGTCAGGAAGTGTCTCTGCCCGTTCGTCTTAAAACCCTCTAACAATTACCCCGATTGACCATGGTGGCTTTCTGAATGTGACTCTCGCCTTTTCCGTGGTCCAACTGTTACACGGGCGGAGGGAGGCTGATTTTCAACAGAGAAAAGTTGTCGTTTTGGCACCGCGCGCATTCTTTGCCTCATTGCCTAAACAGTTACACGGGTAGCCGAAGGGGTAGTTTTCGAAGTGCGGCGCTCGCCTGAGCACCGCGTGCATGTGCCGTAGCAGCGTCCACGAATGAAGGGCGGCTCCGTCTCAACATCGAACTTCTAATCGAGACGTCCTGACACAGACACGTCAAGACTCACAATCACAATCACACTTAGACTCCATTGCATGCGATGGCCAGCCAGTCGTGCACAGTTGCGCAGCGTTGGGCACGCGGAGACCTTCGTTCCAAACGGTGCTCTCGCTTGGCACTTCCCTGAACTGTACGACGGCGCCTCGTCGCCGTCTTGCTCTCCTCCAGACGCAGGAACGGCAACGGCTTCTCAGAACGGGGCTCCCTCCTGAGCTGCAGGCACGCGTGGCGCTCGTCTCCCAGGGGCGCCACAGTCCCGCAGCGAACACGCCCTCCCGCGCGGGCCTGCCAGGAGGGGATCTTGGGACGGGCGGTCATGCGGCAACATCGTTGACGCATCCTGGGCCCTGGCGTCCGCCAATCCGTGGCCCCGACCCAACGACGTCCCGACCCCTCCCCCTGGAGAGAAGCATCTGCCACAGGGCCCGAAGACAGCCCCCACGGGGGAAATCGAGGGAAGACGCGTGGATGGGGGAAGAACGCATCGTCGGAGATATTGGGGTTCTGTCAGGTCGTCGTCGTCGCCCTCCTCCTCCTCGATCGATGATATTGTCGACTTCAAACTAAATGTAGCAGATTCTAGCTTGGGCAAACAAAGGAACAGTTGAGAGGGGGACGCAGAGCAGAACAGACTGCCCTTTCGGCGGACGACGCCGTCGACACCCTCAGCATCGCAAGCCAGGTGAGGGTCAAGTCGAAGCTCGAAGGCCTCCAGAGCCTCCTCCTCCTCCTCCTGCCCCCCCTCCTCCTCCTCCTCCTCCTCCTCCTCCTCCTCCTCCTCCCTCCTCCTCCTCCTCCCTCCTCCTCCTCCTCCTCCTCCCTCCTCCTCCTCTCCTCCTCCTCCTCCTCCTCCTCCTCCTCCTCCTCCTCCTCCTCTCCTCCTCCTCCTCCTCCTCCTCCTCCTCCCTCCTCCTCCTCCTCCTCCTCCTCCTCTCCTTCCCCCTCCCGACGCGGCCTGCACGCCCACGCTGACCCCCGCGCTGACGATGCCGACCCTCACCACCCCCGCGGACTCCGACATGCCCGGCGGCGCCGCTCTGACGCTCACGCTCGCGCCGTCGCACGCCAGGTCCAGGCGGCACTCGGCCGCCCGGATGCCATGGCCTGGGCCGCGGGGGGACGCTCTGCCACCGCAAGCGCTCCACCTGCCGCTGGCCAGCGTCCGCCGCGCCACGCCAGGGTCCACGAGCAGCGCAGGCACCACAAGACGACAGAGGAGAGGATGAATCAGGGGGGCGTAAGACCCGGGTACCGGGGACTCGGAAATCCCCGACGAGGTCGTCAAGAAAATGACGAGGCCGAGCCTGCATTTTGACGAGGCCTCCCGCTGCAGACATCCCACGAAACTCCCACTCGTCAAAATCCGAGTCGCGGTCGTCAAAAAACGATGGCGAACCCGAGTCCTGGCAAACCCGGGTCTTACGCTCCCCCGAATGAAGGGAACAGGGGGCAGGAGGACCCTGGGGCCGCAGGGCCATTCGCCTGCTGACCAGGGGTCGGACTTCTGTGGGCAAGAAGCAGCGAGGGGCAGGCGGAAGATGACAGATTTCCTGAGGCAAATGCTGGAGGGAGCTAGAACCTGGTAAGACAGGGACCCTACGCGGGAATGCGGCCGGCGACGTCGCTCCAGCGACTGCGCAGTGCACGTCACCGCTTCGGGTCAGGCCTCCGAAGCGCAGGTGCTTGCCCTCACCGATGAAGGGCGCCTCTCGCATCCCCGCGAGCCAGCGCATATGCCCGTGGCCCCCGCAGGCTCCAGCGACTGCGCAGTGCATATCACCGATCGGGTGTCAGGCCTCCGAAGCGCAGCTGCTTGTCCTCAGCGATGCTGGGCGCCTCCCGCACCCCCGCAAACCAGCCCACATGGCCTTGGCGCCCGAAGGCTCCAGCGACTGCACAGTGCACGTCACCGCTGGGGGGTCAGTCCTCCGAAGCGCAGCTGCTTGCTCACACCGATGCTGGGCGCCTTCCGAACCCCCGGGAGTCAGCGCTCATGGCCGTGGCGCCCGAAGGTCCAGCGACTTCGCAGTGCGTCACCGCTGGGGGGTCTGGCCTCCGAAGCGCAGCTGCTTGTCCACACCGATGCAGGGCGCCTCCCGCACCCTCACGAGCCAGCGCACATGCCCGTGGCACTCGAAACCTCGAGCGACTGCGCACTGCACGTCACCGCTTGGGGACCATGTCTCCGAAGTGCATCTGTTTGCCCGCGCCGATGCCGGGAGCGTCCCGGATCCCCTGCAGCCAAAGCTCGTGTCCATGGCGCCCGAAGGTGGCCTGACCTCCGACGTACGGAGCCATGTAGCTCCCCCAAGTGCTTGGCAGGGCGTCCTCGTTGTCCTTCAGCCGGAAGACCACGGGCAGCCCCGCGTCGTCCGCGCGCAGGGGCAGGTCCTCGGGCTCGCCGAAGACCACGTGCCACATGAACTCGAAGAAGTAGCAGTGGGAGAGGCGCTGGCCCTCGTACCTCGAAGAAGGAGCAAAAGGACTGCAGAAGAAGACAGTTGTTGTGCAGCTTTCCTGGGGGGCGCCCAGGGGGCCCACACCAGGAGGTCCCCCTGGCGAAGGGTCACAGTTCCGGGCAATCGAGCTTGCTTGTTCGGGGGCGTCCAGGCGGGGGGCGCCCAGGAGGGGGAGCGCCAAATCATGGCCGGCGGCATGAGCCGCTGCCCAGGAGGGGCCATGGGAACGGGGGCCAGGGAACGTATTGACAAGACAAGGCGGCGCCAGGAAATCTGGGGAGATATCGTGGCCCCCGCCGTGCTATCCCCCCATGGTCATCACCCCCCTCTTGGCCGCCCCCGAATTGTTCCTCGAGCACCTCTCGTATGCGGGGCCGATGCGCGTGCACCCGTCCGCGACGGTGCCGTCCACGATGCGGAGCATGCGCTCGTACTCCTCGCGGGGCCGCGCGCGCAGCCTCGCCCGCGCCACGGCGAACTGCGCGCAGCAGTACGTCGACAGGGGCAGCCGCGGCTTGCGCCGCATCGCCATCTCGAAGATGCCCTCCTGGAAGACGAAGCCAGGACGAGGATACACATCGGGCGAAGCTCAATCGAGAATCTCTGAGGCCCGGCGGCTCTGGCAGATGTCTCGGGCGCCGTGGCCTTCTCAGAAGGTTCGTTCCGGAGCGCTCTGAGAGCGTTCTGGAACGCTCCAGAACGGATTCGTCCTCGTCCTAGCGCTGTCCGAGAAGATCTGAGGAGGGTTGCTACTTTCGGGGGTGAGCAGAGCCCCCCCCCCCCCCGCGCGGGCACCGCACTGCACTCCGAGTGCTAATCGACGTTCAGAAACGACCGAATCTATCCAGCGAAACGTGCGGCGATTAGAGAAAGCGACTGGGGACTGCTCCGGCACACTCAAATGCCAAATGTCGAGTGAGCCCGTGCAGATTTCCTCGGTCGACATGTTGGGGTGGGCATTGTCTCAATGCCCGGTACTTCCATCATGGCGCTTTTCTGGAAGATTCTCCTCACGTAGAAAAGGAGCACAGAAGAGTTTGACAGGGAAGCCGGGAACGGGGAGACCTAGACCGCCCCGTCTGGAGGTGGTCCAACAGCCGTTTCTCTGAGCTGTCCCCACACTGAATTCAGGAGTCATGCTCTCGCGTCAATGCCGGTCACATGATTGGTCCGAACGGCGACAGTCCTTCTTAAACAAGCGCGCTAAGGTACATGGCCGTGCTGTGCTACTACTACAGCGCCTAGCTGGGTTTTTTTTTTGCTCGCGCTGGGCGTGTTCGCCAGATTTCGGCTGTTTCAGGTCCCAGGGCCCTCGCAGATCGATCTGGCCCGAGGCGCGCTGCAGACAGATGGGGTCGAGGGCCCCCGTCGTGATGTTCCGCGGGGCTGCGCCGTTCCTCGCGGCGGCGGATCTCTGGGGCTGCCGCGCGGCACGCCACGCGGAGAGGCGAGGGCGCATCTGCGCGCCAGCGCGCGGCGCTGCGCGGGCGGCCCTCGCGCGACGGTCGGAGCCGCCCGCCCCGGAGTCTTTGCGTCGCCGTCCTGGCACAGGTTGGAGGTGTGCACCATCCGGGGGGCCCCGAGGTGCAGGAACTCCACCGAGCGCAGCGTCCCGAGCGCCAGGCCGCGCAGCAGCACGTTCAGCAGCCCCATGGGCGTGTGGTCGCTCGGGTCGCCGTGCAGGAAGAGCGTGACGTCGGCCAGCCAGGGGTCGTCGTAGTGCTCGACCACGTGCGTCAGGTAGGCGGTGCATTCGTCCCGGCGCGAAGGGAGTCCAGTGCGTGGGTCCACTGCGTCGTCCAGCTGCTTCTGGATGACCGTGGCCTGTCCCTGCAGCAGCTCAGTGAGCATAGCGAAGTGCAAGATGGCCTGCTTACTCATCCCGCACTTCTCGTAAAGAAACACGCGCGTGTGCCTGGGCAACATCTCGATGGCCGCCCGGTCCGCCAACCAAGACGCGTCCTCCCCGCAGTGAGGGATGACTATGTCGAGCGACATGGGGCTCTGCGCGGCGTCTCTCGACCTCTGCGCGGTGCTGTTGTAGCGGTCCATCGCGGCCTGCAAGGGCCACGAATGCTGCAGGTTGTGCATGTGAGGCCCCGCGATCTCTGGCATCTCCAGCAGGCTCAAGGCGCGGCTGAACAGCTCGGCGGCCTCAACGGGGGGGTGCGTGAAGAGGCGCGCCTCCGCCAGGAGCAGGTAGGCAAAGACGACCAGGCCCGGGCAGCCGAAGAGCAGCTCGCGCTGGTACGCGAGCGGCAGCGTGGCGACGTAGAAGGCCTCCCGCAGGGGCGGCCGGCGGCCCTCGCCGTAGTACCGCTGGACGCGGAGCTGGAAGTGCGCCGCGCTCAGCGTGTGGTCGAAGCACTGGGAGCCCACGCACCTTCTCCTCCGCCTCCGTTCCCTCCGCCTCCACCCTTCCTCCTCCACCTCCTCCTCCTCCTCCTCCACCTCCTCCTCCTCCTCCTCCTCTTCCTCATCCTGCCCCTCCCCCCTCCGCGCCCACCGCGTTCCCATCGCCCGTTCAATCCTCCTCGCCACCCCACCCCCCGCCTCCTCCAGCCTACCCGCTCCCGCGGGTGCCCCACCCCCCCTCCTCCACCTCTTCGTCGCACCTCCTCCTGCACATGTCGGGCGTTAGCGGGACTGGACTTCGGGGGACCTGGTGCAGTGATCTCTAGTGATTCCCCTGATCAGAACTGCCACCACCCGAAAGAGCATCAGCTACGGCAGACCTGATCTAGTGATCATGGTTCATCTGTCGAGCTTCGGGGCCCAATCTGTCATCGGCTCCACTTGCCCAAGCCCCTGGCTACCCTGAGATCCGACGACGCGGAACAAGTGCAATGTACAGACAAGTTGCCCTCAGAACTCCAGACCCAATGCTTCTGTGCCATCTTCCGAGCCGGGCCAACCCTGAGATCCGACAGTTCGGACAAACAGACAGACCTAGAACAAATCACGAAATGAGCCCTTTAGACCCCAACTTTCTGGTACATCCTTGGAGCTGGACCGATCTGCGAGGGCCCCGAGGCCGCAAAGCGGACGAACAAACACCTGGCTCGAATAATCAAATCGCCAGGACCTCAGGGGGATCTGTGGTGGCCCCGGGGCCCGAGTCCGCGCGAAAACGCGCGGCGTAAAAAGTTGGAGCGCCTGGACCCGCAGCGCACACGAGCTGCAAGCGCAAGAGGAGCCCCGTGGCAGAGCAAGAAGAACGACGACGCGGAGACGACCGACACGGGGAGGAACAGCGACGGGCGACGACGAAACACCGGCGACGAGGAGACGAGGGAAGCGACGACGAAGAGCGGGGGGGCCCGCAGCGCACACGCCAGGGGAGGCCAGGGGACCCCGACCGCACCAGCCGAAGCGGAACTCGGAAGGGTAGGTCGCCTGGGACGCGGCCACGGCCGCCAGCTGCGCCGCGGCGGCCGCGCGGGCGGGGCGCCGCAGTCGCATGGTGCACCGCGCCCGCTGGCCGGCGGGGGCCGCGCCCGCGCGCCTGGCCACAGAGAGGCCGCCCCGAAGGCCCCGGTGGTGGGGCTGCCCCCCTCTGCGGGCCCCTGCGCTGGTGGCCCAGAGGCTCCGAGGCTCCGAGGCTTTGGGGTGCCCCTATGGGGCCCCAAGCGGCCCCTAGGGGTCCTAGTCTTGGGCCCCGTTTGGGCCGCCCTCGCTGCCCCCCAAAAATGGATTGCCCCCCCGCCCAATACGCATCCTCCCATCGAGAACATGAGACCCACCGCCGGCCAAAACCCTCGGTCCGACCGCTTGTTCGGCGTCCAGGGCTCCTGAACGGGCCTCGGGGATGTTGAGAAATGACTCAAAATGAAACTCGGGCCTTACACGGAAGTAGTCCAAACTCATGGGGGTCCACGCATCGAGCAAATTGGAAAACTGGATGTCTGGGGGTTTGTTCAACCTGGGATCCAGGAGTTGCAATCCTCTCGCACCGCGCGTCTTCACCCGATTTCGATCCGGAACCATCACATCGCAGCGCTGGCGAACGCAAGCGCGACTGCAGAACCGACGGGCCGCGCTGGACACTTGGCGCAATGCAGCGGGTGGACAAAACATAGAACGGCCGCAAATTGAGGAACAAACGATACCATAAAAACTACCTTTTCGGAGGTCCGCGCGGATTCTGGGATCGGCGCTGGAGCCCCCTGGCGGCGCCTCCGGCACCGCCGGCGCCGCCCCTGGCGCACTCCGCGCGCAAGGACGGAAAAACTTGATGCAGTGAAGGGATCGGGAGCTCCGGGGCCGCTGATTGAAATCACATCGGCGGAAGTCTGGGGCTCGAACTGGGGCTTCCCTGAAATCTCTGCGTGCAATTGTGCTCACAACGGACGTGTTGGCCCAATCTCGGGCCCGCAGCCCTTCCCTGGGGCCGGACCCGCTCTCGATGGCCCGGGGTCCACAGGACTAAACAAATCAAATCTCCGAAGATCGAGATACGGGGCTCTTGTCTGGATGCGTCGCGATGTTGCAACCTTTCTGCTCCGCGACGCCGGACCTCATGGCTGCGTGCAGAGCCTGTAGCAAAGCAGGCCCTCAACCAGAGCCCCACCAATCAGCTAGTGGGAGGCCGACCCAAGGTGGAAACCAATCTCGCTGATCCTCTCCTACCCCGACATCGAGTACGGGGCTCCCCGGTCCTTGTCACCTGTCTGTTCCGCGACGCTGAACCTCATGGCTCCGTGCTTGCAGAGACCCTCCCAGGGAGCCTCCGCAGTTCGGGGAACGAGCAATGACACAAACATAACAACTCGGAGGTCCGCGCGGATTTGTCGGATCGGCGCGCGCCGGGGGCAGCGCCGGAGGCGCCGCCGGGGGGGTCCAGCGCGGATCCCAGAACTCAGCGCGCACCTCCGAATTGTTATGTCTCTGTCAGTGTTCCTTCCCCTGGCAGTGGGGTGCGGAGCCTCCCCCGCCCAGGGCACCCAACAAAAAAAACGCCGCGGGGGGGGAGTTGCACACAACGTCGCGGGGGTGACGACTGGGCCCTCGGGGTGACAACGTCACAGCACGGTGCGGCGACGGACCGCGCGGTGACCTCGGCAACAGGGGAGATGTCAACTCTTATCCCAGGCGTTGGTAGGCTCTGAAGTGGACCAACACTTTGGGCCCCGACCCTGGGATATCATTACGATGGGGGGGGCGTCCATCCTCGACAAGGGGCGCGTCCGAAAAATTAGCCCCCTGGGGGTGCATCCCACGGAACCCCTCTTTTCTGACGGGCTACGTTTTTTGTCGAAAATACCGGGGGTCGGGGGAGAAACATATCGCCTGCGACTCGAAATCCCGCAGGGACCTCACCCGAGGGTCGACACCATCCGAGGGTCAACACTTTCTCAGGACCTCAGAGGCGCCAACCACGCGAGGCGTCCTCGGAGAACGGCCCGAGTTCCATGACCGTGCGGGTTCCCTCGAGTACTCGCTGACTTGCCACACGGTTGGGTCACCGCACCGTTTGGGGGCCCCCGAGCGAAGACAAATCGCACCAGGACAAATCGGACCAGGACCATCCCGTATCACTGAGATCTGGCGGCGGATATATCGGCCCCCCTGGTCGTTCCAGAGCGCTCTGAGAGCGTTCTGGGGCGCTCTGGAACTATGGCATCCCGGTCTGAACCCCGCCCGAAGAGAACATCTTCCTGCGGCGCCGAGCCGGATCGAGCCGCGAGCGCCCCGCAAGACCGGAGAAGCCGACGAGAAAACACCTGGCGTGACAAAATGGCAACCCCTGGACCTCAAGATCGCAGGCCTTCCGATGCTTTCGTCGTCGTCGTCGTCATCGTAATCGCCGCCGCCGCCGCTGCCACCGCCGCCGTCGTCGTGGTCGTCGTCGTCGTCGTCGTGGTCGTTGTCGTCGTCGTCGTGGTCGTCGTGGTCGTCGTGGTGGTCGTGGTCGTCGTGGTGGTCGTGGTCGTCCTGGTCGTCGTGGTCGTCGTGGTGGTCGTGGTCGTCGTGGTCGCGGTCACGGTCGTGGTCGTCATGGTCGTCGTGGTCGTGGTCGTGGCCGTGGTCAGTGGTCGCCGTCGGTGAACCTTTGCCGTACCTGGCATCGGAACGGCGGCGCCGGAGCCGGCGGCGCGCGAGCTCGAGCCAGGACAGTACTGCGGGGGGGGGGAGCAAAGGGGGAAAACAACAACAACAACGACAACGACAACGACAACGACAACGACAACAACAACAACAACAACAACAACAACAACAACAACAACAACAACAACAACAACAACGACAACGACAACAACAACAACGACAACGACAACAACGACAACTACAACTACAACAACGACAACGACAACGACAACGACAACGACAACGACAACGACAACGACGACAACAACAACAACAACAATTACTAGCACGTGGGGACACTCCGTTCTCACCAGTGCCAGGGTTTTCATAGGAGGCGGGCAATACCCCCACTTTGTGGGGGGGCCGGTTCAAGCTCTACCAAATTTCCAAACGACTCTTCGCCACCACCCACACCCAGCTTCCCGCCCTATGACGTTCGGACACTTCACTTCGTGGCATGCGGACGACCGTGGCTACTATTCAGGGCCCCGCGGCCGACGACGACGGCGTGCGCGCGCGAAGAAAAAACGAATGTGTCCCGCATGGTATTATTTGACAGGGATGATGGCCCTGGCAGGTGCGCAACCGTTGTCGCAGAAGTTCGAAAAAGTTGCTCGCAAAAGCCCGTTTGACAGAAATGTTTAAAAAGTGTTGGGTTTCCTACGAATCCGCAAGAGCGCGCGGGATGAGATTTTGACAATTTTTTGTTGAAAAACCATTGGTTTTTTGATGTTTTTATGTTAAAATCGCTGCGAACACTAAGGTTTTGGAAGGATTTCGTCTTGCGCGCGCGAATGTCCACTTTACCTTATTTTTTGCAAGGGATTCTTGAAATTTGATTATATTAGAACAAGAAATGTCATTTTCTATTGTTTTTTGCAAGGGAAAGCGGATTACAACAAAACAACCGGATCCTGTACACACCCTCTTTTCTGAGGCTTCCTCACGAAAATGATGAAAATGTAGCTGCGGCCTAGGCGGCGCAGGGGGGGCGCGCACCAGGGGGCCCAACAATAATTATTCTTTAGAATAAATGATGTTCAACAACAACAACAATCGTTTCAAGACTGTTCCTATAATTTAATCGCTTCGCTCATTCCGCCGGCCCATAAGGGCGGAACGATCCGCTCAATCGTGGACAAGACGCGTTTTTTAGAGGCCGTTTGGGGTCTCTTGGGAAGCCTCTCGAGGGCCTCTTGGCAGTATTTCTAAAGCCTCCTGGGGCCTCCTGGGGGCCTCTTGGGGCCTGTTGGGGGCCTCTTGGGGCCTCTCGGGGGCCTCTTGGGGGCGTTATGAAGTCTCCTGGGGACGTCTTGCGGCTTAGAGCGCGAAATGTCCGTTCCGGTCCCCCGTCGGGGCCCGGTCTTGGAGCCGTCTTGGGGGCATCTTGGGCCATCTTGGAGGTTTCTGGGGGTCTCTTAGGGCTCTCTGGGGTCGTTTCGGAACGGTCTTAAACCCTCGTAGGCCGTATTGGGGCGACATTGAGGGCTTTTTGGGCCGTCTGAAAGCGCAAGTAAGCCGAAGAGGCGAGAACGCCAAAATCATCAAAAAAGCAATGAAAATCATGAATTTTGGTTTGTTGGGGGCCTCTTGGGAGGTATCTTGGACGCATCTTGGGGCGTCTTGGGAGCATCTTGGGCCGTCTTGAGGCCTCTTGGGGGCGTTATGAGGTCTCCTGGGGACGTCTTGCGGCTTAGAGCGCGATATGTCTGTTCCGGTACCCCGTCGGGGCCCGGTCTTGCAGCCGTCTTGGGGGCATCTTGGGCCATCTGGGGGTCTCTTAGGGCCCTCTGGGGTCGTTTCGGAACGGTCTTGAACCCTCGTAGGCCGTATAGGGGCGATATTGAGGGCTTTTTGGGCCGTCTTGGAGCGCTAGGAAGCCGAAGAGGCGAGAACGCCAAAATCCTCAAACAAGCAATGAAAATCATCAATTTTGGCTTGTTGGGGGCTTCTTGGGAGGTCTCTTGGACGCATCTTGGGGCGTCTTGGGAGCATCTTGGGCCGCCTTGAGGCCTCTTGGGGGCGTTATGAGGTCTCCTGGGGACGTCTTGCGGCTTAGAGCGCGAAATGTCCGTTCCGGTCCCCCGTCGGGGCCCGGTCTTGGAGCCGTCTTGGGGGCATCTTGGGCCATCTTGGAGGTTTCTGGGGGTCTCTTAGGGCCCTCTGGGGTCGTTTCGGAACGGTCTTAAACCCTCGTAGGCCGTATTGGGGCGACATTGAGGGCTTTTTGGGCCGTCTGAAAGCGCAAGTAAGCCGAAGAGGCGAGAACGCCAAAATCATCAAAAAAGCAATGAAAATCATGAATTTTGGCTTGTTGGGGGCCTCTTGGGAGGTATCTTGGACGCATCTTGGGGCGTCTTGGGAGCATCTTGGGCCGCCTTGAGGCCTCTTGGGGGCGTTATGAGGTCTCCTGGGGACGTCTTGCGGCTTAGAGCGCGATATGTCTGTTCCGGTACCCCGTCGGGGCCCGGTCTTGCAGCCGTCTTGGGGGCATCTTGGGTCATCTGGTGGTCTCTTAGGGCCCTCTGGGGTCGTTTCGGAACGGTCTTGAACCCTCGTAGGCCGTATAGGGGCGATATTGAGGGCTTTTTGGCCCGTCTTGGAGCGCTAGGAAGCCGAAGAGGCGAGAACGCCAAAATCCACAAACAAGCAATGAAAATCATGAATTTTGGCTTCTTGGGGGCCTCTTGGGAGGTCTCTTGGACGCATCTTGGGGCGTCTTGGGAGCATCTTGGGCCGTCTTGAGGCCATCTGGGCCGTCTTGGGGCGCTCTTGGCTTCAGGCTGCTGGGCCTGCCACATATTTGGCGTCTCCTTGGAGCGCTCCTGGAGCGCTCCAGAGGCCTCCAGGGCCGCGCCCAGGAAGTCCGGCATCTCTGGCCCCCACCCTCCCGGGGGTACTTTTCGCCCGGGGACTCCTATAGGGGCCGCCCCGCGCGCGCGAACTAGAAATACTGTTTACCTGCTACCGGAGATCTTAGCACGCCCTGGCCTGTTGGGCCGGCGAATTATCTGCCAGTGCGCCTCTCAACAAATATGTTCCCCAACCCTCGATGTCCGCCGTCTTCGTCTTCGATCATACCCACCTCCGGGGTATACCTTCCTGACCTGCCGCGTGTAGTTGACGAAGCCCCTAAAAGAAGGATTGGAGGAAGGAAAGGAGAACTGGGAGAGAGAACGATTGAGCACGACGACAAGGATTAGCAGGATAGGGGGGCTAGGAACAGACAAACAAGAGGCACAATCAGACGGACGGATCGAGTGGGCCGACCTTAAAAGGCGGGTCGGGCGGTCGGGTGCAAACGTCTGGGTTGAGCGGTCGGGTTGCTGAAGCGTCAGCCCTGCATGAATCGTGAGGAAGTGGCTAGCGGTGGCGCGATTCCCAAGTAAATCGTGAAGGAATACAGAGCGAGAGCGTGACTCACGAATGTTGGGACCGCGGAGTTTCAATAACTTGCGAAGGAGTTCCACGCGAGAGCGCGGTCACTGGATACATCGTGAGGATGTCCTGCGAGAAATCGCGACTCTGAACACATGGTGAACAGGTATCAAGCGGGAGATGGGAAATTACACAGTGCGAGTCTCAAGACGTCCCCTTGTCAGAAGCGCAAGAGTGGATCGGATCGCCCGCAGAGGGAGGGGCACTCCAATCGAACAAACGAAATGGGCACCAGAGGGGGAAGGACCAACAGCGATTGCATCTGAACAACGAGGATAGAATACCCATCGGTCGGAAGAAGTAGGTAGAAACATGAAGTAGGAAGGCGTTGGAAATAGATTGGGGTTCCGCCCGCCTCCTGAAGAGGAGGGAAGAAGAAACCCCCTCGACTCTTGAAGCAGGAAGGCGCTCAAAGTAGATTGGAATCTGGGAATCCAAAAATGCCTACTTTCAACGACCGATGGGGAATCAAACGCTGCAGGACAGAAAAACGCTCGTCGCGCTGGGATCTGCGCTGGAAGTTGATGTTCATGCCGTAGACCTCGACAGCCACGAGGAGGAGGAGGAGGAGGAGGAGGAGGAGGAGGAGGAGGAGGAGGAGGAGGAGGAGGAGGAGGAGGAGCAGAAAAAAACGCCTGTCGCTCCGCGCGGATTTTTCTGGGACCTGCGCCGGAAGCTTCTGCTCATGCCGCAGACCTCGACAGCTCCGGGCCCGAGGGAGCCCCGACCGGCGCCCCCAGGAGAGGAGGCGGAGAGGAGGAGGAGGAGGAGGGGGGAGGAGGAGGAGGAGGGAGGAGGAGGAGGAGGAGGAGGGGGGAGGGGTAGGGGGAGGGGGAGGGGAGGGGGAGGGGGAGGGGGAGGGGGAGGAGGGGGAGGAGAGGGGGAGGAGGGGGAGGGGGGGAGGGGAGGGGAGGAGGAGGAGGAGGAGGAGGAGGAGGGAGGAGGAGGAGGAGGAGGAGGAGGAGGAAGGAGGAGGAGGAGAGGAGAGGAGGAGACCCCCAGCAGTGAGGACCTGCGCATTCGGCGCCCGAGAGCGGGCGCCGAACGCGCAGGGCCTCCCCACTGGCCAGTGGGGGGCGCGCCAGGGGCTGCCGCCTCGGCCTGCTGCGGGGGTGGCTGTCTCTGCTCCTGCTCTCTGAGCGTCCGCCCCCTCGACCCCTCCTCCTCCTCCTCCTCCTCCTCCTCCTCCTCCTCCTCCTCCTCCTCCTCCTCCTCTCCTCCTCCCTCCTCCTCCTCCTCCCCTCCTCCCCCTCCTCCTCCTCCTCCCCCTCCTCCCCCCCCTCCTCCCCCTCCCCCCCGGTGGGAGCGAGGAGGAGGAGGGGGAGGTCCCTTCTCGGCGGGCGGCGGCGGGGCTTCTATCAGGCGCCCGATCGCGGCCGCTGCTGAGAAGTGCTGCCGGTGCCCTTCGCGGGGAGGGCCCCGAAGACCCCTCGGAGCGCCGAAGGACTTCCGAGCCTCCTGGGCGGGCCCGCCCCCGCTCGCTTCACCCCGGGGCTGGCCGCGGAGCCCCTCCCCATGGGAGGAGGGCCCGACGAGGCAGATCTGGAGGAGACCACGTCGGTGAAGGGGCCCGGGGACACACACACACACACACACACACAAGAAATACACACCGATATCCCAGGATTCCCAACATGTTCCGTGTCTTCCTGATCTCCTTCTTCCCCCTCACTTCCCATGGTTTCTCAGTTTTCTGGGAATCGGCGATTCCTTGTGTCTGTCTGTCTGTGTGTGTGTGTGTGTGTCTGTTGTCCCCCCCCCCCGAATTGGGGCTCTCTCTGAAGACTGGCGGGCCCGCCCCGGAGCGCTCCAGAGCGCCTGGAGAGCGTTCCAGAACGCTCCAGAGCGGATTGGCCTCACCGTGCAGGGCAGTTTCTAATACATTGGATTTTAGAACGATTGGATTTTAAATCGATGATCAATGCATGAGTAAATTTATGCATGAACTCATCGTTGATTTTTACACTGACCCCCTGCATCTTTAATGCATGATCCGCACGCGGAGCATGTATTAAAAACGGCACTGTATACTTGGCGGCGCGTGCCAGGGGTGTACGGGGGAAGGCTTCTTAGAAGGCGGCTGCTTCACAGAAGGTGAGGTGCAGGCCTTGCATCTTGAGGTAAGGCCCGCGCCTTCCCAGAAGCAGGGGTGCTTCTAGGAAGCCTTCCCCCCTCCCCCTTACCCCCCCCTCTGCGCGTGGCCGACGTGCCCTGAGATCTCAGACGAAGCCAGGACGAGGACAACATCGGGTGAGGATACATCGAGAATATCTGAGATCAGGCGGCTCTGGAGGATAGGTCGGGCGCCGCGGCCTTTTCAGAGCCTTCTCAGACCTCCTCAGCGCTCTGGAAGGTACTCATCCTTGTCCGAGCCCCGTCCGAAGATTTGCAGCTCACAGAACATCAAACACCGTGAAACATCACGGCCAAAGCCCCAGACCGCACCTTCCCGCTGAACTTTTCTCGAGCCGGCTCGATCCGTGAGGGCCCGAGGGGGCGATATCCAGGCGAAGCCGCCGGGCGTGAACAACACGCAGCGCCAGCATCTCACGGCATAGGGCATAGGCCTGCCTGGCTCCCCAGACCCCCTCGAGTAATGAAAAAATCATGACGGGAGGTTTTTCCTAGTTTTCGGCCTCTGGGGGCCCTCACCAGGCCTCGGGAGCGTCAAACAACGACTCAGGATGACAAACTGGTCCTGGGGAAGGGGTCGAGAACTCTGGGGTCGACGTAATGAAAAATTCATTACGTCGGGGGTCTGGGTCCCTCCCTCCTTCCCTTCTCATGCTGGGGCCTCCCGAACGTCGTCCCAGCCAATGCTTCCAGGCGTGCCGGGCCACGGCGGCCCGGGCCGCTCCCCCTCCGAGCGGGCCGAGAGGAGTGCCGAGCGAGAAACGCTGCGCGAGCATGCGCGAGACGAGTACGAGGACTGGGCATCCGATGTGGGACCGCAAGCGGAGGAGGAGGAGGAGGAGGAGGAGGAGGAGGAGGAGGAGGAGGAGGAGGAGGGAAGGAGGAGGAGGAGGAGGAGGTAGAGGAGGAGGAGGAGGCAGAGGAGGAGGAGGAGGAGGAGGAGGAGGAGGAGGAGGAGGAGGGAAGGAGGAGGCAGAGGTTGGCTTGCAGGCCAGCCCGCCTGCCCCTTTCTCGACCCACTTGGACCCCGAGAGAAGTCCAAATCCCCGCCCCCGACGATTGCACCTCCTGCATCGCCACGGCGGCGGATCGGGGAAGTGTTCGATGGAGACGCCAGAGCGAGCGTCCCAACAATGACATGGGCAATCGCTGAACCAACCTTGCATGCCTGGTCACAGATCTGCTGTCGAGCCCCGTGCGGGCGCACAGCGTGTGGGGGACTGGGCCGCCAACTCCCCCGGCGCTGCCTTGCAAGCTCAGGGCAAGACCAGAGCAACGCGGGCAGCCATCCTACGGCTCGAGACACGGCGGACCGCCGTTCCTTCCGATGTGTTGGGCCCTGGGAGCCGGCTGCGGGCCCCGCCACTGCACCCGAGAAGCCAGCCCGCAGGATAGGCGGGCCGAGGGAGCGCGGGGGCGCGCGTCTCCACCGGATCGGGCCGCCAGGCGTCTGAGGCCCCGGAGTGGTCGGGGGAGGGCTCCTCAGTGATCGGCGCAGCCTGCACTGCAGGGGCCGGGCTGGCTGCCTGGAGACGTTCCCTCGCATTGCTGCGCAAAGGCCTCCCCCCCACACGACGACGGCGGCGACGACGATGACGACGACGATGAAAACGACGACGACGACAACGACGACGACGACGACGACGACGACGACGACGGCGGCGGCGGCGACGACGACGACGGCGACGACGGCGACGGCGACGACGACGGCGACGACGGAGCCCTGCGCGGCGGAGAACGGAGCGACCGACCGACGACTCACAGACGACCGACGGACGACCGATCTAGAAGACGGACGACCGACGAGGACGCACGACGGACGAGCGACGCAGAAGGCTCGCGCACACCTCCACCATGCCAGGCCAGGGCCATCCTTGGCCCTGGTATGGCGTACACATCTTGCTTGTCGAGGCTGTGAGGATCTACGGTCGGAAGCCATTGCCTGCTCCACATGTCATATCGAAGGGGGGTCACATTTTTTGGGGGGGTTCTTGGAATGGTCTCGGAGGGTTCCATGGGGGGGGTTTGGGCACAAGACCGCCTGTTCATGGCTGGTCTCGGGGGGGGGGTCTAGAGCTGCTCGTCTCTGGGAGGGCTGTGGCACCCTCCCTGGTATTGCAAGACTTGGAGGCAGCGAGTCGTGGAGGCGGCCCCCGGCGACCCGCCGGGCCCTGCGAGCTGACAGCGTGCCGAGCCGCTCCGCGTGGCCGGAGGCAGGGCAGAGCTCGGGACGCTGCCAAGTTCAAACAAAAAGGTGCGGCCGTGGTCGCCGCGCCGCGCCGAGGCGTGGTGAGCCAGAACCGGCGGCGCGACACGCTGAGCCTCGGGTTCCTGGAGGAGGGGGAGGAGGAGGAGGAGGAGGAGGAGGAGGAGGAGGAGGAGGAGGAGGAGGAGGAGGAGGAGGAGGAGGAGGAGGAGGAGGAGGAGCCATCCGGGGGCCCAGGCACGGTGGTGTCGTGCGGCTGCCCTCCGAGGCTTCGTTCCCCCCCCCCCGTCGCGGCCCAGCGCGAGGGCGGCCATGGCCCCGGCGCGCGCGGCACGGCGGCACGGCGGGGTCGCGCCGGGGGCCGCTGGAGCGGGGACGGCCGCGTGCGCTGCAGGCGCCGCCGCCCCACCACTCTCCCCCCCCCCCCAGGGGCCCTCTCCGCCTCAGCTGCTCTTGACTACCTACCAGACCACCCCAACCCAACCCGAAGACCCGAATTTCGGGTTGGGGGAGGGTGCGGGCTCCATGTGTGTTTTCTCGAGGTTCCCGGACCCCCCCCCACTAGAAATCGAGGGCAAACCTGAGCCTTCGGGTTGGGTTGGGGTGGTTTGGTGGGTGGTGAGCTCTGGCCTCTCCGGCTCTGATCTGAAACGCTGTGGGATACAGGAGGAGCTCGACCACAAGACGCCTTCCACAAGAGCCCCAACCCTGAGAGCCCACGGCGTCCGTTGATTTTTGGTGTGGGAGCGCCACGCTGTCCATACCAAAGCCATCGAAACCGAAGAAACCCAGGGCATCCAGGAGGCAAGCAACTTCACACAATTCGTTTCTTAAAAACATTGCCTGGAGCTTGACGGATGGAGGGCAGTTCCACTTCAACGTGTGTCTCTGGCCGTAGCGCCGTGCACATTTGTTTTTGTCCCGAGTCTACAGCAGTTTCGAGGAATCGGATGGCCGACGTCCCAGAAGTTGTGTTTGACACGATGTGCGACTGTCAAGGCGCAACGGTCACATTTGTTCGCAGCGTTGAACTCCCAAGAATGGTGTTCTGGCCCGGTTCCGGTTCAGGAGCGTGAGGACGCAACATTCGTTGATGCACGGCGTTGAAGTCCCAGGAATGGTGCTGTGGCACGGCTCAACGGGCGAACGTGGCTGTGCCACGGTGCCAGGCAGCTGTCCTCCAACGGGGCACTTCCCTTAATGAAATCCGCCGACCCCTTGGCGTGTGTGAGACGCTTTTGCGTGTTCGTCGTCGCCCTCGTCCTCGTCCTCATCCTCGTCGTCGTCGTCGTCGTCGTCGCCGACGTCGTCGTCGTCGTCGTCATCGTCGTCGTAGTCGTCATTGTCCTCGTCGCCATCGTCGTCAATGTCGTCGTCATCGTCGTTGTCGTCGTCGTCGCCGTCAGTCCCAAAGAAAGAAGGAACACGGAAATTAAAGGAGGCCCTTGCCTGTGATCCCTTTCGTGCCTGGGGTGGTCTCCGTGGGGGCGGGGTAGTGGAATACCATCCCCCTGGCGCGTCCCGAGGCCCCAGAAGCCCCAAGACGGGCCAAGATTGCCCAAAGAAACTCCAAGACTGTCCAAGAATCGCCGAATGATCGGTCCAAGACGCCAAAGACAGCCTCAAGACAGCCCAAGAGGATTCTAAGACGCTCTAAGAGGCCTCCAAGAGCACTCCCACGAGGGTCCCACGAGGCAAACTTTCTTGATTTCCCTGAGGCTTTTGGACAGGTTTGGCGTTCTCGCCTTTTCGGCTTCCCGACGCTCCAAGACAGCCCAAGAGGCATCCAAGAGCGCCCCAAGACGGCCCAAGAGGCCCCCAAGGTGGCCCCCAGGGAGCCCCGAAAGGCCGAGGCTCCCGAGAGGCCTCCAAGTGCCTCCCACGAGGCTCCCCAACTGCTCCCCAGAGGCCCCCGAGAGCGCTCCGAAGAGACCAAAAGAAGCAGGCCTGAGGACTCTGACCCACGTCAGAGTCGTCGTGCCCCCTCCAGAGTCGGCGTAAGGCCTTCGCAATGAATCCTTGTAGGACCCATGAAGAGGGAAGTTGGAGGGAGGGTTTACTGCAACATCGCTGGTGAATCTTGGGTTTGCACTGGTCCTCTTCGATCCGTGACCCGGTGGTGCGGACGAGTTCGCGCCGAAGCGCCGATGCCCTTGATGAAGGGGAACTGGGACACACACAAATAAATACCCACAAATAAAACTATTCCCCATAGTTTCCTATATTTTCTGGGTCTTGTCTTCCCCCCCCCCTTCCCATAGTTTTGCATATTTTCTGGGAGTCGACGAATCATTGTGTCTGTGTTTTTTCCCCTCCTGACTTGATCGCCCAGCCCCGCGGATGCTCGCGGGCAAGGGGGGGTCCAAGGAGACGTGGGCGGCCTGCGGCCGCCGGCGGGGCCGCGGAGAGCGGGACGAGCGGGAGGAGCGGCACGAGAGGGGGGGAGCCGAGAGGCGGGCGAGCGAGGGACCGAGCGGCCGAGGGCGCGGAGCAGCAGCTGGTCCACCCACGGCGCGGGGGCCGGGGAGGGCCTCGTCCCTCTGGCGCCCCAGCTCGGGCTGCACCACCGCGGGCGCCTCCGCGGAGGCCCGAGGACGTGGACGTCGTCGTCGACGTCGTCGTGGTCGTCGCCGTCGTCGTCGTCGTCGCCGTCGTCGTCGCCGTCGTCAACGTCAGCGTCGGCTTTCTCGTCGTCACCGTCGTTGCCCTGCTCCTCCTCCTCCTCCTCCACCTCCTCCTCCTCCCCTCCTCCTCCTCCTCCTCCTCCTCCTCCTCCTCCTTCTCGTCCTCCCTCCTCCTCCTCCTCCTCCTCCTCCTCCTCCTCCTCCTCCTCCTCCTCTTTTTCCTCCCGCCTTGTCCTCCTCCTTCCTCACTCCCCCCTCCTCTCTTCTGTTACTCCCTCCTCCCTTCCTCGCTCCTCTTGTCTCCTCTTCCTCTTCCTCCTCGCTCCTGCTCCTTCTCCTCCTCCTGGCGCACGGCATGCCCGTGGTGGGCTGGCCGATTGGGCGGTCCGGCGGCACTGCGCGGCACGAGTGCTGCTACTCTACGGCGGACACATCGGGCCGGGCGAAAGGGTGGGATAGCAAAGGGGGGGTTTGAGAATCAGCTCTCGTAGCTGATTTTCCCGGCGCCTCCAGGCGCCCATGTATCGAGGAATGGGCCCAGCGGCGGGGCCGAAACCAGCTGCATGCAGCAGATTTCGTAACCCCCCCTTTCCCTATCCCCCTCTCTCGCTCGTCCCGAACATGCGTACGAGAAGAAGTGACACCCAGACATCCAACGCATTGAATCGATCAATGTGCCACTTTTCGAGGTGCTGCCCCTGGGGGCCCTCGCCAGGCCCCGAGGCCGCCCAAGAAGAGCTCTGGGGAAGAGAGGTTGGCCCCTATAGGAGAGGGACGGGACTTCCGGGTGGGGGGCGTGTTGTGAGCATCGAGACGTCGGATCTCTGGGCACCCTTGTGGCAGAAGGGGGATATCCAGCAAACACGAAGAACATCAGGGCACCCTCCCCGATCCGACCTCGGCCTTTTCACCTTGGCCCGCCTGTACAAAAGGCCTCCCGAATTGGGCCCGAGCAGATGGGCTCGGAGCACTGCGATGCAACGACGATGCATCGGCGACGGCGGCGAGGAATCGGCGACGTCGACGCGGGCCAGGTCGGGCTACGCATCAAGCCGCATCGCCGACGTGGGGCGATCCTCCGACCCACCTCTACACCCTGGCCCCATCCAGGAAGCCTCTGGGGACAGGCACCGCTGAACCGCTGCCCGTCCCCCCGCTCCTCGCCCTTTGTGGGGCCGCCTGCTCCGACATCCGACGCTGCGAAGAAGCTGCGACATCGTGTAAGAGGACGACCAGAACTCCAGACAGGGAGGAGGGAGGAGGGAGGAGGGAGGAGGGAGGAGGGAGGAGGGAGGAGGGAGGAGGGAGGAGGAGGAGGAGGAGGAGAGGAGGAGGAGGAGGAGGAGGAGGAGGAGGAGGAGGGACAAGGAGGAGGAGGAGGAGGTGCCCATCGTTCTGGGTCATTTCTCGAGCCGGATCGATCTGTGAAGGGGCCCGAGGCCCGAGACCAGGGCGAGAACGCCCGGTGCGGAGACAAGGGCAACGCCAAGAAATCCCGAGGCTGCGTGACGGCTGGCCTCGCCTCGAGAGCTGGGAGGCCCCGACGTGGCCCCGCCCGGGAGGCTCCGCGATCGGCCGCGACGAAGCCCTCCACGGGGCCACGCGGGGGCCACGATGCGGGCCGGCCGTGGGCAAATCCCCTGGCGGCCGCGCGGTGGCCGCCTCGCGCGGCGTGCCCCGCCGCGGGCTCGAGGCGGCGCGGCGGCGGGCCGACTGCGGCGCGGGCTCCGGCAGCGACGCCGCGGCCTCCCAGGGGGCTTCCAAGGCGTCGCTGGCGACGGTCGCCGTCATCTCGGCGCCGTCCACGTGGCCGTCGTCGTCACCGCTGGCGCCGTCCACGTCGACGTAGTTCGCCGTCGGCTTCGTCGCCGTCGGCGTCGACGGCGCCACCAACGTTGCCGTCCGCGATAGCCGTCGGCGCCGTCAACGTCGCCGCCGTCGGTCGCCGTCGGCGCCGTCCATGTCGAAGTCGGCGACGCCGTCGGCGGCGTCGACGTCGTCGTCGGCGTCGGCGTCGGCATCGTCGGCGTCATCGTCGTCGGCGTCGTCATCGTCGTCGGCGTCGTCATCTTCGTCGTCGTCGGTGTCGCCGTGGGCGCCGCGGTCCCCATCGGCGCCTCGGTCGCCGTCACGCCGTCGTCGTCCCCCCAGGTATCCGAGAACATGTTTGTAGCTGATCTCGACGATTTGTCGTAGATTTCTGCCTCTGGGGACTGCTTCCTCAAAAGCGCCTCTGGGACGAACAACTACCCTTAAGTCGGGCGTGTCCCCCTATATGGGGGTTGCGACGAAAAACAAAAGTACTCAAAAAATATTCCAAAATGGTCAAACCATACTCCAAAAAAAGCCCGACTATTTTTTGACTATGTTTGAATATTCCTCCTGTACAGGGACGGGCCCAACTTAAAACGACCCTCAGGACAGGGGGTCGGAACCTCTGGGGCCGCGGATCGGGCGTCGTCGTCCCCTGAACTCTGGGCGTCCGTCTGGGGCCGAGGGTGACTGGGACCGCCGTCCCCGGAGATCTGGGCGCTCCAGCTTTGGGCACGCTGGGCGCCCTCCCCCCAGCTTCGGGCCTCGGAGCTCTCTCGGATCCACATGGCTCCAGAGATGGATCAGAGAGAGAGGCGGTCTGGGGCTCTGGTCGTGGTGCGTCTTGTTTTTTTTTCGCGCCGCCGTCGTCGGCGTCGTTCTCGGCGCCGTCGTCGGCGCCGTCGGCGGCGTCGGCATCAGCGCCGTCGGCAGCAGGGGCGCGGAGGGGCGCGGGGAGGGGGCGGGCGGGAACGCCGAGAGGGGCGAGCCGGCGGGAGGGCACGGGAGCGTCCACGCGACACGCCGCCGCCTGGAGCCCGTCCGCGCAGCACTGCTTCGTCTTGTTGCCCAGGGGCCTGGCGCTTCGTCGAAGCAGCAGTGCGAGCTGGTGGCTGTTCCCTGGGGCGGCGCGGCGTGGATGCTGCTTGTGCTCACCGACGCGGAAGGAGGGCGGCGCCTCGGGTGGGGGATGAGAGCTGGCTCTGGGCAGAGGGTGTCTTTTCGTCATGAGGTTGCCAACAAAAATGTGCCCTGGTTCATCCTGTGGCTCACGGCGCGTGGCCTCTCTCACGGACCAGCGATGCCACATGCAGCGCATTCTGCCCGCATCCAGCAGGGTCCAGCACCAACGATTGCACGAACCACGTGGTGACCCCCGATGCTAGAGACCTCCTGGATGCGGCCCGAGTAGATAAGAGGCCTCCTAGATGGGGTCGGAGTTGATGGGGTCGGAGGATCGCGCCGCATCGCCGATGCATCGGCGATGTATCGGCGATGCACCGGCGATGCAACGTCGACATCGGCAATGCATCGGCGACGTCGACGCGAAGCAAATCGGTCCCTACATCGAGACGCATCGGCGATGCATCGGCGATGCGGCGCGATCCTCCGACGCCATCTACTCGGACCCCATCTAGGAGGCGCAGAGTAGATGGGGTCGAAAGATCTCGCCGCATCGCCGATACATCGGCGATGCATGGCCGATGCATCGGCGATGCATCGGCCATGCACTGGCGACGTCGGCGATGCATCGGCGACGTCGGCGTGGAAACCATTGGGGCCCACATCGAGCCGCACCGCCGATGCATCGCCGGTGCACCAGCGATGCGGCACGAGCCTCCGAGCGTCAAGTTGCGCGTGCCTGTGCTGGCCGGGGCCTGCACGGCGGAGGCTTCCTGGAGATCTCCGGGCCAGGGCGACCTCCCGGGGCTGGGGGCACCCAGAACTCGGCCGAGAGGGTCCCTTGGTGAGCGTTTTCGGATTCAGCCTTCGACGTTGGGCGGAAGAGGGGGGGGTCTGGCTCTGGACCTCTGCTTAGTGCGGCTGCTTGCCACAGTGCTTCATTTTCCGAGCCGGATCGATCTGTGAGGGACTGGGGGCCCCGAAACCGGGCGAAAACGCCCGGTGTGAAACAACTGCGGCGCCAGGATCTCAGGGTATCTGGGGCGTGCGCGGCCCGAACGCTTACAAAGCGGCGAACCGAAAATTGATTCTCTCGCCAGTGCTACGGAAAATACGCAGAATGCTCCGTGGATCTACGAAGCACTCTTTAAAGCAACCTCGGGGCGAATCAATTCTGCAGCCGATCCCGCACTCGAATGCTTACATAGCGGCCTCCTGGGTGGGGTCCGAACAGATGAGGTCGGAGGATCGCGCCGCCGCATCGCCGATACACCGACGACGCTGCTGCGATGCATCGGCACTGCACCGGCGATGCATCGTCGACGTCGGCGATGCATCGGCGACGCTAAGGTGACGCATCTCGGGCTCCACATCGAGCCGCAGCGGCGATGCACCGGCGATGCGGCGCGATCCTCCGACCCTGTCTGGCAGGCTTCGAGTGCCAAGCGGCGAAGAGCACGCGAGCCTGGGGGCTTCTGCCGCGCGAGTGCGCGGGCGCCGCGAAGGGCGGCGCGCTGCCCCAGGCCGGCGGCCGGGGCGGCGGAGGGCCTCTCGGCGCGAGGAGAAGCCGCCGCCGAGGGGCCGCCGCCGCCGAGGCCGCCGCCGAGGGGTCGCCGCGGCGCCGCCGCCGCCGCCGCCGCCGCCGATGCCGCCGCCGAGGGGCCGCCGCTCGCGGCCGCCGCCCTTGCCGCGGCCGCGGCCACCGCCGCGGCCGCCGCCGAGGGTCGCCGCTCGCGGCAACCGCCATCGCCGCGGCCGCGGCCACCGCCAGGGCCGCCGCCGAGGGTCGCCGCTCGTTGTCCCCAGATCTCTGACGACACGGTGAGGGTAGTGGACAGCCCTGCGGATCTTGGCGCTGCAAGTTTTTGTCGCAGCGGGCGTTTTCGCCCGGTTTCGGGTCCCGGGGCCCTGGCAGATCGATCCTGCTCGAATAATGGCGCGGAAAGATGGGGTCGATGGCTGCGGCTGTCATCTTTTACGCTGTGGCACTTATCTTGCCACGTCGGATGCGAGGAAAGGAACCACCACTGGAAAAGAAACTCAGGTTCTGGAGGTCAGTTGAACTCCCATTGTGGATGCGGCGATGGGCGCGATGGATTTCATCTCCGACGATGCGCTGAGGAACTGCTGCTAGCGTGCCGCCGCCGTGGCCCCGGCGACACGCTATGACCTCCGAGTGGATAGCGGACAGCGTGTCGCTCCGCTCCACGGGGCGGGAGGCTCGGGAAAGCTCGGGACGTAGAGCGGCGTAAACATAATTTCTCGGAGGTCCCCGGTGTCGGCGGCGTCGCCGCCACCACCGCCGCCGCTCGACACCGTCGTCGTCGTCGTCGTCGTCGTCGTCGTCGTCGTCGTCGTCGTCGTCGTCGTCGTCGTCGTCGATCGAGGCTCAAGGATCAGGGCTCTGGGACATTGTTTGCCCAATCAGAGAGGGCATATGGCAGAATAACCACCCTCACAACAAGAGCCCTTACAAGCGAATCCCTCAAGTGCACTCACGGAAGCCATCGAACAAGGCACGGGAAGTCGGGGTGCTTTTTCTGCCCCTTGATTCTTAGACTTCTGGAGGCCCTGGAGGCCCGCGTCGGCCTTGGAGACCTACGGGGACATGTTGAGACCTCTGGTCGACTCAGGTCGTCGTCGTCGATGTCGCCGTCGAGGGGGATGAGCGGGGAGCGGTGGGGGAGGATGCGGGCAGAGGGGGGGGAGGAGCAGGAACAGGGGGAGGGGGGAAAGGCGGGCAGGCGCAGGAGCAGCAGGAGGGGAGAGGCACGGTGGCGGAGCAGGAACGGCGCCCATGCAGCGTACCATGTTTGGACTCCCGCGCGGGACAGTGCACGGCTTTTCGGCCCTGAGGGCCAAACAGCAACTGTGCACCGTGCCAGTCCTGGGTCGAGGAGTGACGACGCCTCGGGGGACGCCTACGCGGTATACGGTGCAAACAGGTCGTCCGCAGATTAACGAGGAAGGAGGGATGCGCGAGTAAGGACCAGGGACGACAAGGAACACCGAGGCCGCCCCCCCCGGGCCCCCAACCCCCTGTGCGCACGCAGCGAGCGGCGCGCCGCAAAGCACCCGGGGGAACCAAAAGAGACACCGCTAGCGCTGCTCCCCCGAGCCCTCAAGGGGTGCGCTCTGGCCAGCATCTGTTCGGGGCGAGTCCAGCCGTCAGGACGAGGGTCTCCTACCCTGGGATTTTGGCGCTGCACTTGTTTTGTACACCAGGGCGTTCTGGCCCGGTGTCGGGCCTCGGGCCCCTCACAGATCGATCCGGCTCGAGAGAAGATCCAGACAGACGGGGTCTAAGCCCCTGGTCGTCTTCTTGCACGATGCCGCAACTTCTTCGCACCGTCGGATGCCGGAGCAGGCGGCCCCACAGGGCGAGGAACGGGGCACGCGCAGCGGCAGCCGTGCCTCTTCCTTGATGCCTTCAGCATGGGGCCAGAGTTTGGGTGGCGTCGGAGGATCGCGCCGCACCCCCGACGCACCGCCGATGCATCGGCGATGCAACGGCAACGTCGGCGATGCATCGGCGACGTCGGCGTGGATGGCATCCTGCTCCCCATCGAGCTGCATCGCCCACGCATCGGCGATGCGGCGCGATCCTCCGGCCCCACCTCCTCGGGCCCCACCGTGGAAGACTGGCACTCCTCCTCCGAGCCCCTGGCCCGCCCGCGCGCTCTCTTCCTGCCCGCCATCAGAAACCCCCGCGGCCGTGCCGCGCGTCCGCGCCGGGGTCCCGCGCCGCGGCCGCGTGCACGTAGCACGCGCCGCCCTCCCCGCCGCCCCCAAGGTAGCGCCGCACCGAGGCCTCCGCCGGGCCGCCCGGAGGGCGCCAGCGGCGCACCGACACGCAGAGTTCCGACGAAGGGGGCGTCGCAGACGGTGCGGCGGCGCGGCGTACACCCTGCGAAATGCTTTAGAAATCATGGGTTCAGAAATTCATGGTCTCAGAATCTGAGTGAAAACCCAGAATGTCTATTCAAATCTTGGGATTTACATTGAAACATTAAGAATAATCGAGACTCTGGCCGAAAACTTGGGTTTTCTGAAGCGTCGCCTAATGTGTAGGTCCAGTAAAGTGGGAGCGCGCGGGCGGGGCGAGCTCACACAGCGTGGCGGAGCTGGAACCACCCCCAGGGGAGCGACAGCAAGCACCCGGGCGCACACACCGATACTGGACCCAAAGGCGGGCTTGGCCAGGCTTGGCGCATACACTCACATCCGGTGCGGCCCAACAAAATGCCACATCGTGAAAATTGACTCCGGGAGTCCTCGACCCCATCGCTCTGCGCCATTCTTCGAGCCGGATCGCTCTGCGAGGGTCCCAGGGCCAGCAGCTGGGCGAACACGCCAGTTGTGGAAAGACGGCAACGCCAAGATCTGCGAGCAGGTGCGCATTTGGCGCCCTCCGGGCTGTTGGTCCACCGCAGTGGGCCGCCCGGCGCGCCGCCCTCGTCGAGCAGCGCGTACGTCGGCCGCGCCGCCGCCGCGTACTCGCGCAGCCCAGGCCGTTCTGCCACGGCGAGCGCCAGTTCTCGGAGCCGCGGCGGCAGCCGCAGCTCGGGCTGGCCCTCCCCGAAGCACTCGCGGTGCCGACCGGCCCACTCCGCGAGGAAGAAGTCCGCGACGCAGGGCGCGGTCCCGAGCACGAACGGGCCACAACTCGCCGCCATCCGCGCCTCGATGAGCGGCATCAGCTCGACCATCTTGGCGCAGTACGCATACGCGACGGCGCCCAGGGGGACTCCGAGATCCGACGTCGCGAACGAAAATGCAACATCGCGAGACGTGGACGACTGGAGAACTGGCGCCCATCTTTCTGATATATTTTTCGAGTCGTTTGATATGTGAGGGTCCCTGGGTCCGAAACCAGGCGAAACGCCAGGTGTAAATTAGCCCAGCCAAACACCCTAATAGCAGCAGAGGTGAAGAGGCGGGGCGAGGAGTAGAAGGTCGACACGCGACCATGGGCACCGTATTGTATACTTCACAAGCAGGATCGTGGCCGCACGGACCCAACATGTAGCCGGCATTGAGGCGAGGGAAAGGAACCCGAATCCGCCGATCCTTCGGCGTGTGTGGGGCGCTTGTCCCTCTGAGTAACCGCATACCAGGGATAGGAAGGGCCCCCCCCCGTCACCCCCTCTATCTGATCATCCCCGGGGTGTATGTGGCTTCATCTTGCCACAAGAGGCGCGGGGGGGCGAACTTTGGGCGAACTTTATACCCACGCCCAAAGTTCGCATCGTCGCTCCTCCCTCTCCCCGTCGTCCTCCTCCTCCTTCTCCTCCTTCTCCTTCCCTCATTCTCTTCCTTATCTTCCTTACTTATGATCTTACTTATGTTCCTTCTCTTCTCTGTCTCCTCCTCCGTTTACTCCCCCACCCCTCCTTCCTCCATCCGCGCCCCAGTTAATTGTTTGTATCGCCGACATTGTTTATCACCCCAAAGAGCAAGCATGAGTACTCCTGAGCGACGAGTAGAAAGCATTCAAGAGTCCTGTAATTTTACGAATATTTGCATATATATATATATATGAATATATACATAACTTTTGATGTATCCGAAACTTTGAGGCCTCTTGAAATCTCCTTCTCCTCCTCCTCCCTCTCCTCGTCATCGTCCTCCTCTGTTCTTGTCCTCGTCCTGCTCCTTGTTTTCTTGTCTATCCTGATTACCTTCCTCCTCTAACTCGTCCTCCTTCTCTTCTCTATCTTCTCCTCCTTATCCTCCTTTTCATCGCCTTCCCGGTGCTCCCCGGCTGCATTTGATTATCTCCGTCGTTTCTATTCACACCCAAAAAGTAGCCATGAGTACTCCTACACGACGAGTGGGAAACCAGCATGACTGTGATTGGTCTGAAACTTTGATTTGTCTGGACATCCTTCTCTTCCCGATTCTCCCCCTAGGACCATTGTCTCCTCCTGCTTCTCCTCCCTCTTGTTGCTACTATCCGCGTCCTCTCGCTCTTCTCCTCTCTCTCTCCCTCTCCTCCTTCTCCTCCCTCTTCTCCATCTTTGGTTTCGTTCTCGTCTCATACCTCTAGACCGGCCCCCCAAGAGCGGCCAGTGTTCACAATACCATCGTATTTGTCAGGGCTCGTGTTCACCCAACTCCTTCAAACAAGCTCCGGGGGAAGGCTTCCCCAGATCAGCTTGGAGGTCACTCAAGACCCGTCCAGAAGTCCCAACATCGAGAACTCCAGGGCAAATTTACTATCCTCCCAAGACCCCGAACTTTCTTATTCCCAGGGTGCGGTTCTCACCAGCATAGGGTTAGTCATCGTCGTCGTCGTCGTCGTCGCTGTCCTCATCGTCGTCGTGGTCGTCGCCGTCGTCGTCGTAGTCGTCATCGTTGTCGCCGTGAGTCCCAAGAAAATGAAGGAACAAAGAAATTGAAGAACGTTGCAATTCAGTCGAAAGGAAGCCCTTCCCTTTGATCCCTTCCTTGCTGCTGCTTGCGAGGGGGGGCGCCCCAGGGGAAGGTCCCGCGGGGGGGGAGTCCCGCGGGGGTCCCAGAGGGGAGGCGGGGTAGCGAGGGGGGCCCAGGGTCAGAATGCCATCCCCCCGCGGGTGCCCCAGAGCCCTGAACAGCCCCAAGACAGGCCAGGAGTGCCCCAAGAAACCCCCAAGACGGTCCAAGAGGGCCACGGATCGCCGAACAATCGGTCCAAGACGCCCGAGACAGCCTCCAGACGCCCCAAGAGGTCTCCAAGACGCCCCAAGAGGCCTCCAAGAACACTCCCACGAGGGTCCCACGAGGCAAACTCCGTTGACGTCCCGTAGGCTTTGACAATTTTTGGCGTTCTCGCCCTCGGGGAAAATTGCAACGCCATTCGGGGAAAATTGCAACGCCCGGATCTCAAGGGATACCGCGCAGTCGCACAGGGGCCCAGAGCAGGTTGCTCAGCGGCACGAGGAGCTCGGTGTAGGCCGCCGTGGCGAGCGTGGCGCACAGGGCCTGGTCCGCGTCACCCTCGCCCTGCAGGCCGAGCCTGGCGCCGAGGAACTGCGCAATCGCGAGCGTCTGCGCCACCTCGACCACGGCGCCGCTGGTCCGGCTGCGCACAAGAGTGGCCCCAAGCAGGGGCCCAGAGCCGCCTCGCGCCGTGAAAAACACAACGGGCGTTTTTCGTTTTACACAGCTGTTGGCCTCCAGGAGCCCTTACTGGGCCCCGGGACTCTCAGAGAACGACTCGGAATGGAAGGCAGTCCTGAGGACGGGTCCAGAGCCCTGGGATGACACGCTGTGATTGTTTGTTTAAACCAAAAGAACACGACGTCGGGTCTGGGTAGACAGGGAGCGGCCATCGGTGCGGTCAGAAACGTGTGCTCAGCGCGTCGCGGCGGAGGCCCCGGCGACACGCTGGGCCCCTGCGCGCTGATAGCGTCTCGCCCCGCTGCGCGGGAGGGAGGCCTTGGAAAAGCCCCCGACGTCGACGCCTGGGAGTCGAGAGGCTGTCCGCGTGTCGCGTCAAAGCGTGGTGGGCCAGAACCAGCGGCGCGACGGTGGTCTCGGCGCCCTCGCCCCCCCCCCCCCCCCCTTCTATGCCGCGCCCTCCAGGGGAGGAGGAGGAGGAGGAGGAGAGAGGAGGAGGAGGAGGAGGAGGAGGAGGAGGAGGAGGAGGAAGAGCCCGAGCCTCGGGGAGCGGGAGCGTGCGGAACCAGATCCGAGCGCGCAGGCCGCCGCTGACCCCGTCGAACTCCGCGATCGGAGGGCCCCCAGCGGGCCCACGCCAGAGGTCACGGCGACGAAGGGGCACTCTTGCACGTGGCCGAGCTGTTCCGCTTGGGGTCTTGCCTCGACGGCCAGTGCAGCACTGGGACACTTCCCAGCGGCGCGCTACTCCTCTTGAACGCGTCCCACGCAGGGCCTTTGCTGAAGCTCTCGTTAATCCAGCCGCTTGCACCTAAGCCCTCGGAGAGCAGCAAGCGAAGCGGCTCTGCGCGGCCTGCGATGTTGAAGTAGGCGAGCTTAGGACGCGTGTCGATTGATGCACTGTCGCAAAAAGGCGTGCTACACGCTCTGGAGCGTGCTGCGACAACACGCAGAGGTGCAGAACACGGTGCGCAAGTCCTGACAGTAAACATGACTCAAGCTCGCATCCGTGATGAGAGGGTGCGCTAGGATGCTTCGCCGGCGGAAGTGAGGGTGAAGAGCCGATGTGACGACGACAGGAAGCCAGCCATTTGGCAATACCTGTTCACGTATGTATGTATGTATGCATGCATGCATGCATGCATGCATGCATGCATGTATGTATGTATGTGTGCATGCATGTTTGTATGTATGTAAGTATATATGTTTATATGTATGCATGTATGTTTGCATGCATGTATGTATGTATGCATGCATGCATGCATGCATGTATGTATGTATGTATGTATGTATGCATGCATGCATGCATGCATGCATGTATGTATGTATGTATGTATGTGTGTAGTTATGTAATTATGTGCGTGTATGCATGCACGTATGTTTTTGCATATGTGTATGCATGTGTGCATGTGTATGTGTATGTGTATGGGTATGTGTATGTGCATGTGTATGAGTATGAGTATGTGTATGTGTATGTGTATGTGTATGTACGTACGTACGGACGGACGTGTGTATGTATATGTACATATGTACTGGGGACATCGTTCGCGCTCACAATCTTCTTGCCATGGGGCCAAGCCTGTAGCGCGTCACAGGGACCGTGTCCCGATGATCGGCTCCTTGGCTTGAAAGCCGCACTGAGGCTGAGGCTTCGTATTGGCTGAACTCCTGGGCCATCCGTGGGCAATCGTGCAAATCTCGTCGGGTCCATGTGGGCCTCCGGTGCTCTCTTGAAGCTAGACTTTCGCAACGCACGGGGAAGCCAACACATGTTGGGTTTTTTATCTGTTTTACAGAGTTGGCCCTCTTGGAAGCCTTGCGTGGGCAATCTGGTAGCTTCTTGGTGCTTCAATCCCACCAGCCCTCTGGGCGCAGGTGGTCTAAAAAGATGTATCTTCCCTCTTCCCAAAAAAAAAAAAAACAATTTCCCCCCACGGGGAAGGGCTTATCACTGTTCCATATTAATATATACCCCCTCCCCCTGGCGACTGGGAGCCAACCAGGGACAATGAGGGCCCCCCCCCCGCCATCCCTTGCAAAACAACCGAAAAAAACACACACACTCCGCCTCCGAATTCGGAGCATAGGCAGCGAACCCGATGCGGCCTCCCCCCACCATCCCTGTCAAAAAACAATACAGATTACACTTGGCGGCGGCGGCGGTTGCGGCGGCTGCGGCGGGGGCAGCGGCTGCGGCGGCTGCGGCGGTGGCGGCGGCGGTGGCGGCGGCAGCGGCGGGGGCGGCGGAGGCGGCGGCGGCGGCGGCGGCGGTGGCGGCGCGGCGGCGGCGGCAGGCGGCGGCGCGCTGCGCGGCAGCGGCTGCGGCGATTCGGCAGCGGGGGCGGCGGCGGCGGCGGCGGCCGGCGCGGCGGCGACGGAGGCGGACGGCGGCGGCGGGCGGCGGCGGCGGCGGCGGCGGCGGCGGCGGCGGCGGCTGCGGCGGCTGCGGCGGCGGCGGCGGCAGAGGCGGCGGCCGCGGCGGCGGACTCGCCTCTAATAGCTGCCCATCCAAAGACGATTGCTGAATATGCTGCGGCGGGGGCCAGGCTCGGGTGCTACGTATGTGTTGGGAAGGCGGGTGGGAGTGAACGAGACGGCTTGAGGGCGGCGAGGGAGTCTTGACCCCTCTCCATTACCCCTCCCCTGGACGTTTTTTGGGCAGCCCGCGACGTGTCAGGGCATCGGTAACGGCATCGGCGAAGAAACCGCAATCATTGGTTTGACTTAGGTGTTGGCCCCATTTTGGCCTCTTTAGGGGGGGATTGAAAAATTATCCCGGCAAAGCAAGCTAACAGCGATGTGTAGAAGCACATCTGAAAGCATTCCCCTTAAGATTCGGATGAAAATCCTGTTGTCGAATTCTGCTGTTTTCGCAGTCGTAGTCGCATTCGCGATGACAGTCGCAGCGGCAACGGCAGTCGCAGTCACAGCCTCAGCCTCAGCCTGCCTCAGCCTCAGCCTCAGCCTGCCTCAGCCTCAACCTGCCTCAGCCTCAGCCTCAGCCTGCCTCAGCCTCACCCTCAGCCTGCCTTCAGCCTCGGCCTCAGCCTCAGCCTGCCTCAGCCTCAGCCAGCATCAGCCTGCCTCAGCCTCAGCCTCAGCCTCAGCCTGCTTCAGCCTCAGCCTCAGCCTGCTTCAGCCTCAGCCTCAGTCTGCCTTCAGCCTCAGGCCTCAGCCTCAGCCTGCCTCAGCCTCAGCCGCAGCATCAGCCTGCCTCAGCATTCAAAATGTGGCCCAGGAGTGGAATTCTGGGAACTAGAAGAACACGAAGTGGCCTACAGTTGGCTCCGGGCATTCAAAATCATGCCCAGGAATGGAGTTCTGGGAACTTGAAGAGCACGAAGTGGCCTACAGTTGGCTCCGGGCATCCAAAATGTGGCCCGGGAATGGAGTTCTGGGAAATCGAAGAGCACGAAGTGGCCTACAGTTGGCTCCGGGCATCCAAAATGTGGCCCGGGAATGGAGTTCTGGGAAGTCGAAGAGCACGAAGTGGCCTACAGTTGGCTCCGGGCATCCAAAATGTGGCCCGGGAATGGAGTTCTGGGAGCACCAAAAACGATTTTGCGAGGATGTCCAAAATGATTTCGGCTTCGGCGGCAGCCGCGGCGGCAGCCTGTCCGGGTCCCGCCCAGACCCCCCTGAGGAGTCATGATGCTCTCTTTTGAGACCACTAGAAACCTATCAGCAAGAGCTGTTAGGTAATGTCCCACCAGCCCTCTGGGCGCCAAAATCATTAGTTTTACGTAGGTTCTGGCCCCATGTGGGCCTGTTTTGTTTTTGGGGGGGGCTGAACGTTATCCCACTAGTCCTCTGGGCGCCCAAATCAATGGTTTTACTAAAGTTGTGGCCCCAGTTTGGCATCTTTGGGGGTGGGGGTGTGGGGGGGGCGGCTGAACGTTAGACCATCCCCGTTCAGAGCTCCAAGAGGCCTTCCAGGGCTCCCAAGAGGCCGCCAGAGAGCCCAAAGAGGGCCCCAAGACTCCCAAAGGAGCCCCAAACGAGCTCCAAGACCCTCTTAAAAAAACACCAGGAGAGCTCCAACAGGCGATTTTGATGGCTCCTGAAAGTGGGCCGAAATCGAAGACCCCCATCTTTTGATCGATGCTATCCTACATGGCCCAACAGGCCTTCCAGGGCACCAGCCGCAGCACCAGCAGAGGCAGCAACAACATCAGCAGCACCAGCAGCAGCAGCACAAGGGATCACGCTCTCTGGATCCCTCCACCTCCTCCTCCTCCTCCTCTTCCTCTTCCTCTTTCCCTCGCCCCCACGCGGCCCCCAGGGATGGCCCGAAGAGGCCTTCCAAGGCCACCCCCTTGCTCGCAAAGATCTCTCGGTTCATCCTGGTTGCTCGCTTTGTTTCTCCAAATGTGCCTCTTTGTCCCTTTCCCCGTCGGCTCTCGCGGGCACGGTTTCTGAATGGGCTGGTGGGGATACTTTTGTTCGCAACTGATAGCGGACAGCCGCGCGGCGTCAACAGTCGAAAGAAGCCAGGCCTACATGGAGCAGGGCGGATGCCTAAACTACAGCTGGCAAACGCGGAGAAGCGGCGGGGCCGAGACCGAGCGCGGGCGGCGGACGGGCAAGGAAGAAGGACGGGCGACTAACGCAGCACAGCTCAGAAACCTACGACCACGACCAAGCGCACCGGTGAACCCGCCATCCTCGGAGGGCGTGCGCACCGCCGACGCGTACGACAACGTGAGGGCTGCGAGGTCGGCGTTAATCAAGATCCCGTAAGCCAATCGGCGTAAGCCCACCGCGTGGACGTGCGTGGACTGAAACGCGTCCTTGACACTGCATCCTGGTACCCCACTCGCCAGAACGAATCGTCGAAGGAGCCTTGGAGTGAAGGGCACGTGGGCTCCTGCCGCGAGAGCCGACCAAAGAATATCGACAGCTGCCAAGCTGGTGGGGATACGAGAAGCGTGAAGAATTGCCCTGCTAGAGACTTCCTTGAGCAATTTCCTGTGACCGTCGTGGAGCCTTCTTGGAACTTCTGCGCAGCTCCGGCTGTCTCCTGGGAGAGCTCGGAGGGAGGAGGAGCCACCTTGTCTCCGAGGGCGAGCAGCAACCACCCTGCGGCTGTGCTGCGCCGTGGAGATTCACCCCGTCTCCCCTATTCTGATGGCGCATCGCACGACGGGGTCTCTTGGGCTCTTGGGGGATCCACCTCATCCAGAACACCAAGAGGGCACAGAAGAATTCAGCACAACGGGAAGGGATGGTATGAGAGGTGTGACGTCAATTTTGGCGCGAGCGCACTCAGCTCGTCCTCGCCCCATTTCTCTCCCCCCCCCTCCCCCTCTCACTAGCGCGATGCCCCTCAACTTCCCCTCAACCTCTCCCCTCCGCCCCCTCTCTCAACATCCGTGGGACCTCGCGAGGCCTTCTCGGCCGTCCTGGAGCCTCTCTGGCCCTCTGGTGGGTATGGGGTGGCGGTTCCCTGAGGCCTGGCGACGGCTGCATTCCCCGAGATCCGATCTCGCGAGAAAAATGCATCATCGCGGAACATCATAACCTGAACAGACCCCACCATTCTGCGGCATTTGTCGAGCTGGACCGATCCGTGAGAGGGGGCCCGGACTCTGGGCTAAAACGCCCAATGCGAACAAAAACGCTGCGCCGGAAGATCTCAGGCTTGTCGGCTGCGACGACGACGGCGGCGGCGGCGAGGATGGCGATGGCGACCCCAGGCATCCTCCGACATGATTTCTCAACCCGCGGCCCCTGAGCTCCCGACCCCTTCCCTTGGGGTAGTGTTGAATCGCGGATCCGTATTTGATAACCCCAGGGCCCGATAAAAAGGCTTCAGGGGCCGAAATTGACCCAGAACGCCCGGATTGAATAGACCCCTCCTAATTGGGATCCGAGTAGATGGGGTCGAAGGATCGCGCCAAATCCCCGATGCATCGCCGATGCATTGGCGATGCAGCGGCGACGTCGGCGATGCATCGCTGACGTCGGGGTGGAGAACATCGGGCTCCACATCGCCGATGCATCGGCGATGCGGCGCAATCCTCTGACCCCAGCGGCTCGGACCGCATCCAGGAGGAGGCCTGGATTTCTTTTAGCAGGAAAAACCGTCGGAGCGCT